CGATCGGGAGATCGCGATAGTATCAGGACTAGGTTAACAGATCCCTAGACTGAATGAACCCTGCTGGACCGTTTGCCATATAAGGCGGTGGATGCAGACGGGCTAGATGTGACGTCCACTCCGACTTCGGCTTTCTAATCCAGGCGTGGATTCGGATATTCCCTTTAGCGGAACGTGCAGTTGCCTCCGATCGACTCTTCATGCGTGTCGAAGAGCTCATTGAATGGGTCAAGTGGAATGTTTCACTCCGGACTTGTGTGCGTGCTGCCGCAGGCTTGGTAAAACACGAGCCCGTCGCCCCACCCAGAGATTTGCAGTTGGTGGTGCCAGCCATCCACGTCTTGGAGAGTTACGGCCATTCGGGCTTCTTTCCGTTGACTCCAGGGAATGGTCCGAAAGTCAATCTGGAGCCTGACAGGCTAAGGAAAGCCAAGTGTACCTACCCGTGCTAAGCGGCAGACGGCATCTCAGTGGGTCGCCGGACTTGACACCTCTCTCCGAAGGGAACTATTGTGAGCAGTCCAGGTATTTAGGTATCGACGGCATGCATTGGCGATGACTGGACGAATAAGTGCTCCCTGGTCACAATAATAGGACTGCTACTAAGGGTGAGACACAGTATCGGAATTTATATCTCGGAAATCATTGGTTACTGATATGTTCAAAGGCCTGAGGCCACTAGTTGGCCATCAGCTTGACTGCTCCTATTGCGACCGAGTATCCCCTGACGACGACACATCCCTCGATTGCTTTTAACCACACTCCGACCATCGGGAAGTACGATTCGGAAATAGAAATGAGTCGGTCGTCCCTTCTAATTGATCTTTCCTTCCTTTGCCTCCTCACCTTCAAGAACAATCATCATGATTCAAAACGCGATTCAGTCCAGATTTCCAATGCTGAGTCGTCAAGGTTATCTAAGAAACCAGGGGTATGGGTAAGTACACTGTTCTCATCATACCTTTGATTTTCCTTTCCTGTTTATTTTAAATTTTAGCTGAACTAATTTAACAATCACAGTCGTCTCCTGTCCACCACCTCTCGTCGATATGCGGATGCAAAATTGAACAGAGTTTCGTCCAAGATCACACAACCCAAATCGCAAGGTGCCTCGCAGGCCATGTTATATGCGACTGGTTTGCAAGAAGCGGATATGAACAAGGCCCAGGTGGGAATCTCCTCGGTGTGGTTCGAGGGGAACCCTTGCAACATGCACTTGATGGATCTGTCCTCAGTGGTGCGTGACTCAGTTGCCAGGGCAGGCCTGGTTCCCATGCGTTTCAACTCGATTGGGGTATCGGACGGAATCAGCATGGGCACCAGCGGTATGCGATACAGCCTGCAGAGTCGTGAGATCATCGCCGATGGCATTGAGACGGTCATGAACGGACAGTGGTATGATGCGAATATCTCCCTTCCAGGCTGCGATAAGAACATGCCTGGTGTCGTTATGGCCATGGGCCGGGTCAACCGTCCAAGCATTGTGATCTATGGTGGTAGCATCAAGCCTGGTTGCAGCGCTGGTGGCCAGACGTTGGATCTGGTGAGCGCCTTTCAGTCATATGGCCAATACATTACTGGTCAGATTGATGAAGCGCAGCGATTTGACATCATTCGCCATGCGTGCCCGGGAAGTGGTGCGTGTGGTGGCATGTATACAGCCAATACGATGGCAACGGCTATTGAAGTTCTCGGACTCACGGTTCCGGGCAGTAGTAGCTGTCCTGCAGAAGATCCCCGCAAGAAAGCTGAGTGTGAGGAGATTGGGGGGACTGTCAAGAGCCTTTTGAAGGAAGACATCCGACCTTCGGATATTTTGACTCGCCAAGCATTTGAAAATGCAATGGTCGTGGTCAATATCTTGGGAGGTAGCACCAACGCAGTCATGCATCTGATTGCCATTGCCCAGTCTGTCGGGATCAAGCTCACGATTGATGATTTCCAAGCTGTGTCGGATAAGACGCCGTTTCTGGCAGACCTAAAACCATCTGGCAAGTATGTCATGCATGACCTGTACAAGATTGGCGGCACACCGGCCCTACTCCGGTTCTTGCTCAAGGAGGGCTTGATTGACGGGTCTGGCATTACTGTGACCGGCAAAACAATGAAGGAGAACGTTGCATCCTGGCCCGATTTTCCTGAAGACCAGTCCATTATCCGGCCTCTGAGCGACCCTATTAAGCCGACAGGTCATCTTCAAATTCTGCGTGGATCCTTGGCACCTGGAGGCTCCGTTGGTAAGATCACCGGTAAAGAGGGTCTCCGATTTGAAGGCACTGCCAAGTGCTTCAACTATGAAGATGCCTTTGTGGAGGCTCTTGAAAAGGGTGAAATTAAAAAGGGTGAGAAAACTGTTGTTATCATCCGATACGAAGGCCCAAAGGGTGGCCCTGGTATGCCGGAAATGCTCAAGCCCAGTGCCGCCATTATGGGGGCAGGTCTGGGTCAGGATGTCGCCCTCCTTACCGACGGCCGATTTTCTGGTGGGAGCCATGGATTCTTAATTGGTCATATTGTGCCTGAGGCAATGGATGGTGGACCGATCGCTTTGGTCAAAGACGGTGACAGGGTAATTATTGACGCAGGAAAGCGAGTCGTTGATCTAGATATATCCGCAGAAGAGATGGAGAAGAGGAAGAAGGAATGGAAGGCGCCTGATCCACGCGCAAGGAAAGGCACTCTAAAGAAGTATGCTGCTCTTGTCAGCGATGCCAGCCACGGCTGTGTCACTGATGGACCACTTTGATGATTGTGCATGTGGACTGCGAATATAAGCATTTCGAGTATCTGATAGTTAATCTGATAGTTAACACAGGATTAGCTGGTTTGAAGATACTTGCCACCAAGTGAACCTGGCTGCCCCCTAAAGAAGGAACCACATATCCCCAAGATAATAGGTCTCCGTACTCATGCGACATCATGGTAATAATAATGCTGCTATTGCACGTCATTGAAATCTTGCAGAATAATTATGCAAGAAGATGGAATATGAAGTAGGAGTTATATTAGTTTATATCCCTGCATATCTTAGGCGTGGCACCTGGATAGGATTCGGACTGCACGGCGTATTAGGACTGGAAGAAAGACAAACATCCTTTGCAAGATCGAATCATCATATGGACTATCGAGTTGGCGTAAACCTTAAATATCCCACCTGTCATCCAATCATTATGGACAGTCATGTGGCAGTGTTGACATTATTATACAGGAACACCAAGAAATCAAACATACACACTTACTTACTCAGCACATGCTTAGCCAGTAAGTTAAACTATGAACACCAGCCCTGCCCTGAGTACATATAGTCGAAGGATGTTACCATCCTCAATTCTCCCCATATCAATATTGAATCAATTTGCAACAAGTGTGATCAGTGTCTTCGTCCAACTTTTCCCACAATGGCCTTATCAGCCGAGGCGATACTTGGTCTCATAGCCCTATTCATTGCTTCTGTTCCTGGCATTCGGTTGGTGGTCCGCAACAGAGACCGGCTCCAGCAGCGGTGGAGCCAAGGAACCAGTACCCAAGGCTCGGCTTTAGCATTGTCTGGTACAGTCTTAGTTTCCGATGCTTATCTTTACGGGTTATTCTAAATCTTTATTGATGTAGTAGTCCATGACCGGCCGAATGAAGAGAACCATGAGAATGACCAACCCAACTATACTCCTAACTCCCATCCAATAATCCCATCTTACCTTCCGTTGTCTGCCACGAATGATCCATCCCACCATCATCGCCATTCTTCGTTATTCGAGCCCATTTATACTGTGCTGCAAAGATATGAGAATGCCAGTAGAGGACAGCCCTCACAACGAGTGGAAAGCGGCCTTTTCTTCTTCGCCAGGGTGAGCATTTCTATATATGACAAAATCATGCTGGATTTTGGTTAACGCTTCCCTCGTATGACTTCGCAGTCCTCCGACCCTGGACGGACCGCTGAGAACGAGTCCTTGACAGGTGGTGGTACCGATGTCGCTTCTTCCTCCCATGAGGAATTACACCAGCTGGTGTAGGAAAATTTGAGTCCTTGGATGAGGGGGCTTATAGACATGTGTGTATACTTGCATGTTTGCGTGTTCTAATAGATTTGCTGTCTGCATCACATATCTCAGAAATGAATATATATGAACGTATATCTTTCTTCGCATCTGCCATAGTCCTCCCCAATAAAGAAAGCTGCATACCTTTTATATGCAAGAGGATAAAGGAAGCGATCGTGCATACTGGTGTTCTCGCATTATTAAATACTTAACTCTGTGGAATGACTGTATACATACCAGTAAAAACTGTAAATAATAACATAGGAATTGACATTATCGGTATGATCTCAATGTATGATAGCATTATCGAACAATCCGAGCCTTGGCTAAGATTATGATTATGCGCATTCAGGAACAATACCTGCAAACTACCTCACTACATACTATTATACAAACTCTGAAATAATTGTTGATAATAAGGTTACATCCGAGACAAAGCATTCCAAGACCATGTTCAGGCAACCAGCTTAAACCTGGTCATTATCGTCCAATGTAAGACTTTTCCTTGGACATCCCTGTCCAGTCGGGGTCCGACAGACGCTACCGCATTTCTTGTTGGATATTGGCAAGTCTAGTGGGCTTGACCCTGGCTTAGATTCTCCGCAGGGAGCCGTACATAGATAAACAACCGCTGGTTCACACCTTGGATTGGATGCTGTATCCTGACTCTGTTGGTTTCTGACTCACTTTACGGTTGTCTCTCATTTATAAAGAACGTAGATGGGTGGCCTGATGAAGATATTCCCTTGCTATAAAGGCCAGAAGCGAGAGTCCAATCTCGGGCGTCATCAGGATCTTCACTTTCCTCCAATCCTGCCGAATTACTTGTGAATCCCCCAGTCTCGTGAAAGCACATCCTCGCTCAGAACTTCGCATCCTCACAACTCACATTGACTCAAATCAGCAATGAGAATAAACATCCTTACCATTCTATCCTTGCTCATCGCCAGCAGTCTCGCCATGGCTACAACCAGATACACCGAGCCTATCCCCGAGGGAATCCCCGTCCTCGAAACCCGCAAACAACTCAACGACATGGCAGACCAATATCCTATGGGGACCCTGGACGATAGAAACGGCGGCTATTATCTGCTCGACCATGATGGTACCGTCTTAGCCGTTACGTCTGATTCCCTATGCGAGGAACTGGACGCCTCTATGGAAGAAGCGAGAAAAATTCATGCCGATAACCTGGACGACGAGGCCGATGTTGGTCCTAGGGGTGATAATGCGGCTGCTACTTGCTCTCACCCGCGCTGTCATACCCATGCTTTGTGTCGCACATACAGTGATTGTCATGTTTGTTCGTCGAGCTTTCATTGGTGTTTTTGATTTTGTATTTGCGATGCTGCTGAAGGAGTAGGATGGCTTTAAGATGCGCGAGAAGAGACTAAGCTCTCCTCAGGGGTTTAGACATATTGCTATTATTGTGTACTAGGTATTCAACATACCTTAACTACTTATGCTTCGGTCCATGCAGAGAAAATACTGAATCAAGTACAATTCTTTCAACATCTGGCTATCATCTGTTAATAGGCACAGAGTCCCGTCGGGATAGTGGAGCTAGAAGGTAGTGTATCCCATTCAGAGGCATAAGTCATTTGGCAACTGTTATACTCTCCTCTTCCATGAAGATCAAGGAGATCTCCAAATGTAGAAAAGCCATCTAGAGCTCCACAGGCATACTTGGGGTTTGAAACTTTCGGAAAAATCCCCAGTCGAAATATTCCCACCTCGACTCTCCGCATACAACGTTTCACCCATTTAAACTCTGATACTCTACCGTGTGAGATAGAATGGAAACATAGAATAGCGTGATATTCGTAACTCTCTACGATGAAGCTATCTAACGCACGAGGCAGAGGTAGTGTGTGTTGCGCTAGACCCAATTCGGAGGTATAGTCGAAGAGTACCTCTCACATACCAAAGTATAGAAGGCCCAGAATGGTGGTTCTCACCTGGTAGTAGTCCCAGCAGCATGCTCGGCCAGCTCTATCTCACCGGATGGAGCAGAAGAGCAGATGCCAAGAGATCCCTCTTGCACGAAACAGCCAGTCTCCGAGTCCTCCGGACTATTCCCCTACCCCGGACTAAGGCCGTGCACCTACTGACGGCGATATTCCAGTCTGAGCTCGTCCTCGGGGGTTTTCTTCTGCATGGTACAGCGTAGTCGAGGTCCCCAAGGCTCCTCCTGTCTCAAGATAGTCGCCGGGCGCTTAGGACTTCGGGCTCCTATTGACTACGATTTGAGCTTCAGTCACCATGTGCTTTAAGTCGGCCCTTCATCTACAAGTTGCCAGTACCTTGCATGTATCCTCCGAGATTGTCGTTCATTGTTCAGCTAAGTTCGGATTTCTGGCCGTGAGACGCGGGACGAACTCCGAGACGAGGCGAGCTTTACCGGCAGAAAGGGTTAGATTGCTAGTACGATCTCGCATTGTGGGTTTACTCAAGAACCTAAGATCACTTTACGAGGCAAAAACTACTCGGACTGCATTACCCCGGCCCCGCATCCCCGCATTGTCCAGCTTGTTCGGTTGTGATGGTGATCTCGGACATCTTCCGGGTCATCATACTCTTAAGGAATCCGGCCTTTTAAGACAAGGATTGTCATAGCTATCAGCAACCAACAGGACAGCCAACATGTCAAAATCACCAACTGAACAGATAGAATTTACGCAGACGAAATTGGAGAATGTCGCGGACACCCTGTACGAGGCCTACGCCTCCAAGGGCCCCGAATGGCACAAGCAGATGACCCGACGCTTACTCCGAAAGGTGGATCTGCATCTCCTGCCCTTCTTGGTGGTGATGTATCTGCTGAACTTCCTGGATCGAAAGTATGCTTCCTTGCCTCAGAGTAAAATCAAGCTGACCTCTTCAAAGCAATCTCTCACAGGCTCGGCTTGGCACATTGGAAAAAGACCTGGGGATGACAGGGACCGACTTCAACCTGGCGACGAGTATCTTGTTCGTCGGATACCTGCTCATGCAGCTCCCGTCTAATCTGCTGCTGACGCGCGTGAAGCCGTCGTGGCTGCTGGGTGGTGCGATGGCGATCTGGTAGGTCTCCCTCTTTGTTCCCCGGATTGATCTGACCAGATAGGGGCATAATATCTGCAGCTCAGGCAGCAACGACTTCCTTTACAGGGTTGATTCTTGCGAGGTTCTTTCTCGGGTTTGTGGAGGCGCCTTTCTTTCCGGGGGCGATCATGTTGATGTGCGTATACACCTCAAGCCTAGTATGCATGTGCTGATTTTGTAGGTCGAGTTGGTACACCCGGCAGGAGGTATGACTACAGTCTCTGCATCCAAAGAAGGTACTAATCAAAGTAGCTGAGCCATCGAATTGCCTGGTTTTACGCCGGTAGTTCCCTGGCCAACGCTTTTGGCGGCCTCATAGGCGCGGGTGTACTGGGCAATCTGGACGGCGCACACGGGATTGCGGGCTGGAGATGGCTGTTTATCATCGAGGGCAGCATCACAGTCGGAGTATCACTCTTCTCGACCATCTGTCTTCCCAACTACCCGGCGACTACTTCCTGGTTGGACGAGACCGAACAAGCCTATGCTCAGTGGCGCCTCATCAACGACGCCGGCGAGGCGGACGATACAAACGCTGTCAGCATCAAAGACGCCATGGCGATGGTGTTCCGGGACCGACGAATCTATCTCTTCATTCTGCTACAGCATAGTTCTCTCCTGTCGCAGACTTTCCAATACTTCTTCCCGACGATTGTCAAGACACTGGGCTACGGGAGCATCGAGACCCTGCTGATCACTGCGCCCGTGTGGGTCGCCACGTTCCTTGTTTCTCTGTTGGTGACTTGGACTTCGGGACGAACCAACGACCGCAGTTGGCACATTATCGGCTTGATGAGCGTGAGTGCCTTGGGTTGTATAATCTGCACGGCCACGACCAATGTTGGTGCAAGGTTTTTCGCCATGTTTCTGTACGCTGCTTACCTCAGATAAATTTAAAGAGATACTGACAATGGTAGGATGCCCATGGGCGCTGTGTCAGCTTACCAAATCATCATTGCCTGGGTGGCCAATTCCTTCCCCCGTCCGCTCGTCAAGCGCTCGGCAGCTATCGCGACGGCCAACATGATCGGGAACACGGCGACGATTTATGGTAGTTATATGTGGCCTTCATCGTCTGGCCCGAAATACGTTCCCGGGGGTAGTGCGACGGCTGTGGTTGCGGTTCTGGTGGCCGTGTTGGCGTGGGTCATTCGGATGGTGCATGCGAGGATGAACAAGAGGTTGGAGGAGGAGGATGAAGTGGAGAATCGGGGTTTCCGATACATTCTGTAAACGTTTTCCTAGTATTAAAGAATAGGTGCGAAACATGCGGCTGAGTACCGTTGAATAGTGCTGCCTGGACAATGTGCATAAATTACCCGAACCAGCAAATGGAAAATGTTATTGCCTAATGCTCAGCCCTGATGACAACAAGTACTCTGGAATCAGCCCTAAATGACCCACAGTCCCGCGGGCACCGAGCCCTGAATGATTGGCAGTCCCTTCTAGAAGTTCCACAGTTTGTTGTCTGTAGCCATCCGATTCGTTGAAAGCGTCCATGGTCGATGATGCTTCACGGCTATCCCGGAAGTATGTCCTGAGCCCGGGAACAGAGTATATCTACTAACGTCAATCTCAGCCCTCCTTCGCATTGGCAATGGTAACTTGTTCAAAGCAGCCAGAGGCACCAATATGAAGGCCATTTTCACCATTCTAACGGCCCTAGCCGTAACAACGGCCACTCCTCTCGACCTGTCTATCCGAGCCCTCCCGAACGCTCCCGATGGTTATACTCCAGCGAATGTGACCTGTCCAGCGACACGACCCAGCATTCGCGGTGCAGGCTCTCTTTCTCCTAATGAAACTGCCTGGCTCGAGATCCGTCGCAACAACACCGTCCAGCCCATGAAGGACCTGCTCGGGCGACTCAACCTCACCTTCGACGCGGCAAGCTATATCGACCGCGTGTCCAGTAACGCATCGAACCTGCCTAATATCGCGATCGCTGTTTCGGGTGGTGGATACCGGGCGCTTACTAATGGAGCTGGAGCTGTAAAAGCTTTTGACAACCGAACACAAGGCTCGACGGGGGCTGGACAGCTCGGTGGTCTACTGCAGTCTGCCACGTATGTATCCGGACTGAGCGGAGGAGGATGGCTCGTCGGCTCAGTGTATGTGAACAACTTCACGACCATCTCAGACCTCCAATCCGGCGGAGCCAATGGCGACGTATGGCGGTTTTCCACGTCTATCCTCGAAGGCCCCAAGGCCAGACACCTGCAAATTCTATCCACAGCCGACTACTGGAAGGATTTGCTTTCAGCAGTTGACGGTAAAAGCAACGCGGGCTTCAACACCTCGCTAACCGACTACTGGGGTCGTGCTCTGTCCTACCAGTTTATCAACGATCCAAACGGAAATGGCGGGCCAAGCTACACCTGGTCGTCTATCGCATTGACTGACGCCTTCCAGCGCGGGGAGATGCCGCTCCCCATCCTGGTCGCCGACGGCCGCAACCCAGGCGAGCTACTGATCGGCAGCAACTCGACCGTCTACGAGTTCAACCCGTGGGAGTTTGGCTCGTTCGACCCTTCCATCTTCGGCTTCGCCCCGCTAGAGTATCTCGGTTCACGCTTCGACAACGGCCAGCTCCCCAGCGGCGAGTCCTGCGTCCGCGGGTTTGACAACGCAGGCTTCGTCATGGGCACCTCCTCCTCGCTCTTCAACCAGTTCATCCTGCGGCTCAACACGACCGATCTCCCAGACCTGGTCAAGAATGCCTTCTCCAAGGTCCTCACTGCATTGGGCCAGGACGGCGACGATATAGCCGTCTACGGCCCCAACCCATTCTACGGGTACCGCAATTCCACCGCGTCCTACTCGCACAGCCGCGAGCTCGACGTCGTCGACGGCGGCGAGGACGGCCAGAATATCCCGCTGCACCCGCTCATCCAGCCAGTCCGCAACGTCGACGTGATCTTCGCGGTTGACTCGTCGGCCGACACGGTCTACAGCTGGCCAAATGGGTCCTCGTTAGTTGCCACCTACGAGCGAAGCTTGAACAGCTCGGGAATTGGCAACGGGACGGTCTTCCCCGCTGTGCCGGACGTGAACACCTTTGTCAACCTAGGCCTGAATACCAGACCGACCTTCTTCGGCTGCGATCCCGCGAATCTGTCCGCGCCCGCGCCCTTGGTGGTCTACCTGCCGAATGCGCCGTACAGCGCGAACAGCAATACCTCCACCTTTCAGCTGTCGTATTCTGATTCGGAGCGCGATGAGATTATCATGAATGGGTATAACGTGGTGACACGGGGGAATGCAACGGTTGACAAATCCTGGCCGAGCTGCGTGGGGTGTGCTATTTTGCAGCGGTCGATGTACCGGACTAACACGTCCATGCCCGAGGTGTGTAACAGTTGCTTCAAGGAATATTGCTGGAATGGGACGGTGGATAGCAGGACGCCTCCGACTTATGAGCCGAGCCAGGTTTTGGGGAGTAAGTCTACTTCTGCTGCTTACAGGGGAGAGTTGAACTGGCTCGTGGGAGGGTTTGTTGTCGGACTGGCCACGTTTATCACAGTTTAGGCAGATGATAGTTATATCCACCCTGGCTAGAGTGAGGGGATATGTGCAGACTACAGATAATTAGGTAGACATCCAGAGCCATTTGGTTGCCGTATGGGTGCTCAACATCGCGGGTATGCGACTGGAAGAGTATCGTGAAGTCTTCCTTACTATACTAGCACTAGAAATTTATAATCAATAGAGGCGGTACTGTCTCAGCTAGAATTGCGATATAAACTTAACCCGTCTTACGATTGATTATACTCAACGATACCTCAAACTAATTTTTTTGTTATCTAGTGCAAGAAAGAGCCTACAGCCTTCCTCCCATATTGAGTATGCGCTCCAGCAAGAATATATGCGGGGGATACAGTGCAAGTCACTGTATTGAACCGCCCTATGAGGCGACGCCCTTCGCAGACGGGATAATAATATGCCGGATATCCAGGGGGCTCTCTTTCCCTCTCAAAACATCCTCCAGCACTGAAATCGGAATGCAGAGGTCTTCCTCATCACAGAAAATACTCAGCTAGGTGACTGAGTCACACTGACTACCTGTGATGGCTTTCTTTAAATTTGAACCACCCTCGCCCATATTGGGGCTTCCGTCAACAGAGCTACCCAAGCCTCCGGTGCCATATACTCCCGGGTGGAGATTCACCATCAAATCTCACATTGTTTCAGCCCCAACACCCGTGGTGCAAGATTGCTGCATCAATAGTAAAGGAGAAAGGAAGGAAAGAAGGCAACTGAGTCCAATTGACCGATGTCTTAAGCACCCCCCCTTGCCTGGCCAAGAAGGAAACGGTACTGTCGGCCTAGAGGCCATCGACGTCTTGAAAGGAGGCGACGGTCACAATTCTCAGGTATTCACGATCCGCTTACTGGACTGCGAGTCAGAATCCCAGATGCTTCCTCCGAAAGGCACACGACTGGTGGCAAAAGTATACGACCCTCTTTACTTCAACGATAGCGAGGGGTACCTCAACCCATTCCTTTGCATGGATAGATCCTACACTCATGAGGCCAATGCATATATGTCTCTCAACGAGTTTCAAGGTCAATGGATCCCGAGATACTATGGGTCCTACTCTTTAAGTTTATCAGTCGATTCAGTCCACACACGGACAGTTCGAATGATTCTGGTCGAGCATATCCAAGGAATCACTATGGCAGATTCTGAGCCGAGAAATTTCTCCCAGTCAGCTCGCCAAAGTATTCTGAAGACCATTGTGGACCTCGAAAGCCGAATCTATGAAAGGGACGTTTGGCTCATCGATCTCGAGCCGCGAAACGTCATCATAAGTTCACCAGAGAGCGACCAACTCCGTGTCGTGTTCATTGATTTTGGGGATGCTCTTTTCAACCGTAGGCGAGATGATCCCATTGCGTTAGAATTGAACAATTTTTTGGGAGAGTACATTTCACCCCTTCTTCGGTGGAAGAAAAGCAAGGGCAAAGAATATGCATTTCTTGAATGGATTGATTGGGACTGGGATCCCTGGCTAAATGCCGAGTTTGCCCATACAGCTGCAAGCATCACCCCCGAGATGCGAGAAAGATGGTCCGATGATTAATTCGTATCGTGCTCGTACCTGGGGAGGCTGCAAAAGTCAAGACGACCTAGACAATGTCGTCTCAATCCAGGAATAGAGGAAGCAAGCGTTGCGTAAAGGGCTATAGAAGACGCATGTCATTTGGGCTGAGGAGATTGTTTCCTGCAGACCAGTTACGAAATAACGTGGCTTTTAGCAGTCAAACGGAGTCGGGCTGTGCAGTTTTCCAGAATATGCTTGCCATTACTTCAAGGGGGAAGCAGGATAGCCACAGAGAATGCCTCCTGGGATGGCTGTCTCAAGGCCCTCGATGACCGTGTACTCGGCCAGACGGATTTTCAATTCATCGACCTCCAAGCCGTCTCACGATATCCGCCCCAAACGCGCAGCACTTCAGCAACCGTACTCTCCTTCCGCACTGACTTTGTCTGTTTGATCTGCAGTTGCACCAGCATAGATCGGAGAATCCAGTTTTCCTGCCCAGTCATGGATTCCATGTCCCGTAGCATACCTTCTAGATCATCAAGGAGGGCACTGAGGACATCCCGCGTATACTCTAGACTCCCGCTTTCTTCTATCTGAGTTAGGATGTATCGCTTCGCCTCTATCGAAACCCCGCCTCCACTACGTAGCATGTTGAGCCATTCCGTGAGCACTGTGCTATCCTCCAGAGTATGACAGGCGCGGATGAACGGGAACGAAGGCTTTCCTTCGTCGAGGTCCTGACAGAAGCCGCGTTGGGACGTATACTCTTGGGATACGAGGTTCTGATAGTCGTCCCGGATTTGGAAGTACCGTCCCAGCTGGTTCATGAAGCGTCGCATATCGAGGTCCCTGGGTCGTCAATCTAATGGATTTTGGCATGGTTAGGGACGTCTAACCTGTTTTGGGTGGCTTCCTGCTGCATCAAGCGCAGGAGAAGTACAAAGAGACCACCTGTTTCTATTCGCTGTCAGCCAGGGCGACGAGCCCAGATCGAGGAGCACAGATCAGGGGTACATACTGCCGTCGACCATCCTGAAATAGTCCTCCTCGGTAGGGATAATCCTGTGGCTGGCCCAGGAGATATCATGGGCTTGGCCTGTATACAGATGTGCCATTTGCTCTACGTGAGTTCAGTACAATACTGTCGTTGATTAAAGATCAGAAGAAGACTGACCGGAGAATATCAGCACAGCAGAGGGCGAGAGCTGTTGGACAAGGCGCAGGGCATTATTGATGTGGAAGCATGCAGAGTTGATGGTCTGGCCGACACCAAATATTTCATGGACGGCTGGCCTCCCACGCCGAAGAAGGCTGCCGTCCTGTATATCGTCCAGCCTGCGCGTGGTTAACCTAAAGACAAGACAGTGACCGCGTTCTAGAAACTCACATCAAGGAGGCTTCATGGAGCAGGGATGCTACGCCAGAAATCAGCGCCAACGAGTGCTCTGGTACATTGAACCAAGTCTGCAGAGCATCGATCAAGTGATGCCGGAAACCCTTGGAGGGCATAGAGGTGATATACTCGTACGGTTTCCATAGAACCTGCAGTTTTCAGCGCGGCCTCTCGGAATGGGAGGAAGACAGACCGTTTCGTCCAATGCTTCAAGAACCTTGTATGCAGGATCTGTTGCACCTTCACCTGCACGCACTTGATCAGTGTCTGATTCGGCGATATTGAATAGATTCCATACCTCCTAACCGGGCGTCCTTCCTCTTTTTGCTTTGTTTTGATCGCATTACTTGCAGTTTTTTGAAGACGGAGGGAACTTCAGGAGGGCAGATATATGGATTCTTGACGTCAAGGTGATATCGAAGGGCATGGATGCTCCACAGTGCATTTCCTGCCATGGACAACTCGAGGACTTGGAACCATTTCTTTACCGAAAGCGAGGTACTGGGTCTCCGTAGATATTCATCGCGGAGAAGACAGTATTGCTCCTCATGCTCGCGGATAAGGCCACGGACGATCTGTTTTGCGGACTCTTCAGCAGTATCCTGCATCTGCATGACCATCTGGACGGCGTTGATAAGAGGAAGAGTATCCCCGGACTGCCGCGTCACTCTCTTCTCTTTTTCCCAAGACCACAGATCGTTGGTCACACCAAGAACCACAAATGCCAAATAGGTGACCGGCCCGGTTTCCACCTCTTCTTCCGATGAGAGTTCGACCCCGCTGGCCCAGCCCATCATGCGAACGACCCAGCTTATTATTGTCAGCGATGGGAGTGTATTGTGTAAGAGGACACATCACGAACTTAGCTCCGCAGTCCAAGGCCCGAACAGCCAAATAGTCTTCCAGACTTGCAAACATTTTGTCCCTTATCTGTTGGCCAGTCTGGTACCATTGCTTGAAGGTCCTCTGGCAGCGACCAAGGTAGTCTTGGTCGATTTCGTTCAAGACCGACCAGATCTTTGCTCTGGACTGCTTCCTCTTCAGTCCGCCTTCAGCGATATTCTGGAGGTCTTCAAGCCTTTTTGACCCTAATGCCTTTGGTAGAATTCCATCCTTGTCCTGGGAAAGGCGGTAGCTAGGGCCATCTTGAACCGCGTCCACGGACACGTCTAGCAATATACCGTGTCAATAACCAATCCATTCCAACAAGAGGTAAACACTCACCATCATGCACAAACGCATACTCGATAAAGTAAGAGCAAAGCCCGATTCTCTCGGGTAAGGCCTCTGGAGCGCAGAGTGCTGTAAAGTCAGCCGTATGCGCATTCATCCCACCAACCACTTTTCCGATCCCGTCCGTCCCGAACAGGTCAATGTGGCACTCTATGCAGGCGTCGTGAGAAACCGCGACATATTTGCTGACCCGCGGCTGAAACCGCGAGATATACTTGCTTTCGCTCTCTGCGTCCATGAGTGCAGGGTCGGAGTGTCTGTACATAAGAGGATGAGACTTTGGGACACCATTCTCCGGCATGTTGAGGCCGTGCTTCTGTCCTTCCATTGCTAGAGTGGGATTCGGCTGGTTGAATTCTGATCATCATGTTGTGGGCGACAGTTCTTTAAATGTTGCTTTTCATGTGTCCGTACTCCTTCCCGACTTGGAGTGGGTATCTTCCGGATGAAACATCGTATCATAATTCATATTCTGGCCAACAGTAAAACATCGGCATCACAGATACTACGTTACATGCAAAAGAGTCACTATATTTGGAAGGACAACAAAGTCTATGACGAGACGATAGCCTCAGGTACCACAATCGTGATGTCGTGCATATAGATACAACGTGCGCCCGATCTGTCTTCCAAGTTTAATTGTTTCATATGTGGCCCAGCAGTGAAAATTTCATAAGATAATAGGGTTTGTATATTCCAAATATTTGACAAGAATGCTCTTAGGTTTCACTGATGGACCTATGACTTGGGTTTGTGGAGTCCCTCTTAAGTTAAGCTATTTAACTATAGATGATGCCTTGAAAAAGATCCATTCTCTTTTAAATGCCATAGGATGCTAATTTTGATGGTAGAGGACCTTAGCTGGATTCGGCTGTATTTTAAACTTGCCCTTCAGCCAGGAGTCTTTACTTTATATACTTGCAATATGGCATTGGTATTATGATAATTACCGTGTGGAAGCATTAAGGGTCTAATTATGCAGTCAGTGACTAAGGTTCTTTGCAACTTACTCCACCAGCACTAGATCAACGATCTACTAGATGATCTAATTGCTTTATTAATATCATCAAGATAACCTTAAGTAGTAAAATAATGTGTATAATAAGCTTTGTTTACCGCCGCTGATCTTCTAGTCCATCCCCTGTCTAGAGAAACAACTGCCCCACGCCACAGATCGACAGTGGGATGTGTTTGTTACCATGACGATGCCCAAATCCCTTACATTTTCCATCCTCCTCCAACTCAACCTCATCATGCTCTTTTCCATTCTTCTCATATGAACCATGTCAATATCGGCAGTCCCGTACAGGGAATTCCTTCGCCAGAAAGAAGCCGAGTTCTTTTCCTTGATTGATCAAGGAGTCATTTCCCCATGGTTGTTCCCGCATGATTTCCTCGTGCTGATCATTCCCATTTTGGTGCTGCTGATACCCAACAAAGGCCAGGGACGGGTGGTCGCCATCAGATGGACAGCATTCGGACTCGTATGCTCCCTTGCAATCAAAAACCTGCTGCACACGCGATGTCTCACCGGCGGAGGCACGGTCATCGGCTTTTACTATGTCTTTGTTGTTATCTGGAATGCATTATTCCTCCTCTTCAAGGATGTCCAGAACGAGTGTTTCCGGATTGAGCGATCGTCAGATGGGACCCTCGATTGGCAAGGCTATCCAGACTCGATTTCCCACCGACTATGCTGGCTTCTGGATATGTTTGGTAGTCTACGTGGCGCAGGCTGGAACTGGAGGATTCCTGGACTACCTCCGCTTCCAAAGGTCAAGTCCAAAGACCAGCAGTCACCAAAAGATGGCAAGGAGTTACCTCAAGAGACGCCATCGTCAACTCTTCTTCGGACCTCTATCATGAGGACAGCTCGGTACTACCTGGTGATGGATATCTTGAAAGTCCTCACCATGGTGGACCCGTACTTCTGGGGGCTCATCGATGCTGCTCCTCTCTACCCACTCGACCGGCTATACCACTTTTCGCCGGCACTCTTACGGCTCTTCCGCGCAGTCGTAACAGTGATCTGGATCCGCACGAGCATGGCCTTTATAGCCTCCACAGTGCCTCTCATCATCAGTCTGGCTGTCACTGTTTGTCCGGGTCTTGTCAAATGGAGCCGTATACCCCTCGACGCACCATGGCTATATCCCCCTCTGTTCAATAGCTTTTGGAACTTCAAACCAGTCTTCGACTATGGTCTGGAAGGCTGGTGGGGAAGACGTTGGCATCAGGCTTACCGATATGCGTTCTCGGAGACAGCCAGTCATGTTGTCCCCAACTTCGAAAATCAAGATATGACCAGGTTTCTGAGGCATTCCGTCGCGTTTTTGTTGAGCGGACTGGTTCATTTCTGCGCTGTTCATTCGCATTTTGTCCGCCCGGACTCTGTGCATTTTGGCGCCTTGCTCTTTTTTATTCTACAGCCGCTGGGGATGCTTTGCCAGAGAAAGTTACGGGGGGTATTATTTTCGGAAGGGAGTATTTTCTGGAAGGGATTCAACATCATCTCGACCTATGCGTGGTTATACCTTGTTATCGGACCTTTTTGCGATGAACTGGCTGCCGCTGGGACATGGTTGTATGATGAGGCATGTCCGATCAGTATTATTCGGGGATTGGGCTTCATTGAGGGAGAGGGCTGGTTTGTGGGAACGAGAAGATATGTTGGGGTGTGGACAGGGGAGAAGTGGTGGCAGACTGGTATTCAGATTCTTTGAATGTTCTGTGTTCGGTATAGAGGCATGGTATACATAGGATAGATACGTGCTAGTATAAAGTCATGGATAGAGATAGTAAAAGCATCGGGCGGAGATCAGTTAATGCTGATCACGCCATCGCGGGGCATCAAGCATCAGAGCATCAATTCTTGCAACAACATCATCATCCATCAATATCATAAACCACACCATGGGTTCATCAACTGCACAGCCATTTACATCCATTCCTATTCTCGACTTCTCGCTATGTGCATCGCCGGAGACAAAACCGCGTTTTCTCTCGGAGCTGCGCAATGCTGTGGTCAATGTGGGGTTCTTCTATCTCGTCCACGCCCCGATCGCGCCTCAAATCCAGCAGGCATTCATCGAAAAATCTCTGGCTATTTTTGATCTGCCGTTAGAAAAGAAACTCGAAATCGAAATGGTCAACAGCAGACACTTCTTGGGCTATTCCCGTCTCGGTGCGGAGACCACCGCCTCCAAAACCGATTACCGGGAGCAGTTCGATGTAAATGCCCGCCTAGTACAACCAAGGTATGCAGTAGACTAACAATAGTATAGTTTGCCACGGAGCTTCCAGCCCCCGGACCAGATGAGCCTCTGTACAGGAACATCCGGGGACCAAACCAGTGGCCTGATGAAACCTTTATCCCCGGCTTCCGGAAGGCCGTCGAAGCCTACCTGGCTGAAATAGGTCCCCTGGCAGAGGCATTCAAGTCCCTGATTGCGGAAGCGCTGGATCTCCCATCAGACGCTCTATACCCCTTCTTCGACCACCCTCCCCAGCACAAACTAAAACTGATCAAGTATCCCCCCCCAAGCAGCGCATCCCAGGCGCAAGGCGTTGGCGCGCACAAGGACTCGGAATTCCTCACCTTCCTACTGCAGGCGACTCCCCACTCAGGGCTTGAAGTACAGAACAAATCCGGAGACTGGATCCCCGCGCCACCGCTGGATGGCTCGCTGGTGGTGAATATAGGACGAGCGCTGGAGGCAGTCACGGGGGGAGTGTGCACGGCCACGACGCATCGAGTCAATCTACGGCCGGAGAATTTTGTAGATGCAGACGGAAAGCCACTGGGGCCAAGATTCTCATTTCCGGTCTTTCAGGGGATGAGTCTGGAGCTGTGTGCAGAGGATATCCACCTGGATATTCCAGCGCATATTAGGGAGCTGGTCAAGGATCAGCAGGTGCGGTCGGATGCGGAGGCTACGTTTAATAAAGCGTTTCAGGGGAAGACCGGTGAGGGAACGCTGATCCATCGGATCACGAGTCATCAGGATGTGGGCCGACGATGGTATCCGGAATTATTGGAGTGGGCGTTGAAGGAGAGGCAGGGTAGTCATTGACTGGACTCTGCAGGTAAAGTCCTGTGTCAATCTCGGTCTATGCAATGGCAAAAGCCGAGTATCGTCAGCAATTGGATTATTCCGCGAGTCAGTAGTTGTCTAGTTAGGTACGGACATTGCCCGCACACAGTGCTAAGCGGGTTTCATGCCGGCATCTGACCCGACAGTTCCTCCCTGTAAAGCGACGATCATATCTATACGTGGACAATGACACAATATCCCCAGATTCTGCACAAATCACGCTTGGGAAATGTGAAACGCCAAGCAAAGTCCCTGCAGCGGAAGATTGGTTTATATTGTGATGAAGTCTTGGCAGCTCTCGGAGCCCCGGCGAGCGTCCTTTTTTTCCAGCAATAGGGTATAACTCGAGTATACTATATAAAGACTGGGGAGTGACTGAGGTATTTCGTGCCGTGAAGAAGCATTGAGAGCACCAAGCACAAGATGAAGTTCTTGCAAATCTTCCTCGGGCTTCTGCCCACCGCGCTCACCGCGTCCATCTACGTCTCTCCCCAAGGGTCCAGCAGTGGCTCAGGGAGCATTACCTCCCCCCTGAACTCCATTCAATCCGCCGTCAACCTCGCAAAGCCAGGTGATACCATCTACCTCCGCGGGGGAACGTACTCGCCTACCAGCAACATCCAGATCACCAAGAGCGGAACAGCGAGCAAGCCATACATCCTTCGCGCCTACCAGGGCGAGAAGGTCATCATCGATGGAGAAGCTCTACCTGGGTAGGTTCTCTACCATCAGTACTGAACTCTTACTGATAGAATAGAACACCCGCACCCCTTGACGCTTCCCTCGCGAACGAAGACCGCGGCATCCTCCACATCCAAAACGCGAACTACTGGCAGTTCTACGACCTCGAGCTGATCCATGGCCCGTACGGCGTGTATGCGCGCGATGCGTCGAACAATCACTACGAGCGGCTCATCACGAGGGATAACTACGAGACTGGTACTTGCCTCTGCCTGGTGACTTATCGCATGTTGACCAGGGACTAGGCTTCCAGCTGCAAGGCTCGTCCTCCAACAACAAAGTCCTCTACCTCGACTCCTACGGTAACAGGGACCCCCGCAAGAACGGCGAGAGCGCCGACGGCTTCGCCTGCAAGGAAGGCTCAGGCGAGGGTAACCTCCTCAAGGGAGCGAGGCTGTGGAACAACGTCGACGACGGTTTGGATTTGTGGGAGTTCAAGTCTGCCGTGACGATCCAGGATACTATTTCCTGGGGGAATGGATACAATCGGTACGCTTCCACGTCTTTATCTGGTTAATGCAGCTGACAATGTAGATGGGGCTTCTCACCCTTCGAAGGCGACGGCAACGGGTTCAAGCTCGGCGGCGGCGACGCAGCGGATAAAGGTCCCGCAAACCATGTCATTACCAACTGCATTGCCTTTGGGAACGTCAAGGATGGCTTCACGGATAACTCCCAGACGGGTGATTTCACGCTCAGCCGCAACACGGCGTGGAATAATGCCAAGGTGGGCTTCAAATTCAATACGGCGGTGGCGACGCTCAAGGGGAACGTTGCGGCGGTCAATGGTGAGAGCGCCACTGCTCTGAGCTCCAAGCAGATTTCTTCGGGAAACTCGTGGGATGGAAGTGCATCGTGGTCGAATAGTAGCTTCAAGAGTGTGGATGTGAGTTTGGTGCAGGGTGCCAGACAGGCAGATGGGCGGATCAAGGCCAGTGATTTCTTGCTGCCAAAGTCTGGGGAGGCAATTGGAGCGACCACTGCTTGGAATTAATCTTGTTCAATAGGTTGAAGATCAACTATAATCACTATTATGCATTTGCTTTAACATGACCGTACTGCATCTCATACTCCCTCCACTTCCTCCCAATCGGCTGAATCAATGTATAACTCGCCTTGCTTCCAAACTCCTGCACCCCGTTTACCAAATACAACGGTGTCATCTCCCCATCCTCACTAAAGAACAGCTTCGGCCGTTCCCTCCGATAGTAATCCACCCTGCTCCCATCGGTAAACTGCACCGTGGTATTATACGCCAGCGTGATGTTATTATAATGCCACGGACCGCGCCAGTCCCTTGCAAACACATGCGCACCCACCCGCGGCCCCTTTTGCCCTAAAGCAATATCCACCATATGATGCACGAGGAAATGCCAGTGTCCGCGCTTGTCACGCCAGAGGAAGGGGTCCTCGCTACGCAGGGAGGTGTCGATATCAGTGAACCCCGGCTCGACACGCAGGGAATACGGACCCTTGTAGCTGGTGGCGGTGTAGATGTTGTTCTTTTCCGTGGCGAGGAGAATCTCTCTTGTGTGGTGGTGTGGGGACCAGAGCGGCCAGGCGGCGGGATTGGTGACGTTGACCAAGAGTTCGATGGGTTCGCTCCAGACGTGGAGGTCCGGTGAGGTCGAGACTGAAATCGTGTTGTTGCGTTTGATCGAGCGGCAGGTTGTCGGGGGCTCCCAGTCCAGTCCGATGAAGTGCATCAGGTATAGTTTGTCCGCTGGGCTCCAGGTTACGGTTGGGTTGTGGTGGAATGTGCCGAAGAGCTCCTGGGCGAAGGTGTATGGTCCTCGTGGGCCGGTACGCGACTCTGCGCGGATGATGGTGCTGAATGGGCGCCAGCCTGAGAGTCCACAGCCTCGGTCTATCTGGGAGATGATCAGATGGAAGAGCGTGGGGTCATGTCGGTCGTGGATGATGTGTCCGCCCCATGAGGAATTGCCTGCGCCGTCGCGGTAGAAGTCCGGCAGGGTGATGTTGGTATGATTGTAGCCAGTGTTTCGGTCGACAGGTTGCAGATCTAGCTCGCTGCAGTCGGCAGCGCGCCAGCCAGGGTCACACATGCATTGGTGGGTTTGGGAACAGACGCCTGTCAAACTACAGTCTTCGTCTGTGTGACATGCAAAGGCGGCCACAAGCCCTAACGCGTGGAAAAAGAGCAACAAAAGCATTGTGCAGTGGTGCTGGCACTGACATTCAGAATCTCGAGGTCTATATAGTTCATGCCAAGGGCATTAAGCTTGAACGCTGCGGGGTAAAGCCTCGAGAGTTGTAACGGGTGGAGAAATTATGCTTGTCTTGCATTTCGGTGTGTTGATCCCCGAGGTCTGCAGTCAATGGTGTTTATCGTACTACATCCTGGAGATGTATTCACAAAGATATGTATACACCGCCGCAGCATACACAAGCAGATGGATACCACAATTTTATATATCTGGGTCAACTGGATCATGACCTAGTTTTCAAAGAGCACACCGAAAGGCTACACTGTTTATTCAGAGGGATATACAGTCTTGCTTCCAGGCACTTTCTGATACATAAGGATCATAGCGGACATGCGAGGTATGCTCAGTCAAGATAGTAACTGCCAGAAGTCTTGAATCTCATTTCCACACGACTGTTTAATCGGGATAGGCTCAGATGCCTGAATAAGATCGCTTGTTGGAGTTGCATCGCAGCCTAGCCCTCATTGGACTGGTTCATAGAGCTCTATATTATGCCGCTTTGCTGTCTGTCAGAGCCCGACTAATTCCTCAAAAGGCTTGAATTACAGAGGAGATCCTTTTCTATTTCAAGCGCGAAAATAGTTGTGCCAAGTCAAGTGGGCCATTAAACTGGCTATCCACATCGTATCCTCCCCTAAACGATGCAGATCGGCCCGCATTCTCGTGTTATTCGTATTCGTCAATAGACTACGGTTCAGCAAAATCAATCCTCATTTAAGGAGAAGTTATATAATGTGCCGTTCTTTCCCCTGGACAAGCTGATCATCAATCGTACAAAATGACTGCACTCATCAAACTCGGCAGCCTTCTGGCCGCATTGCTTTGGATCACTTTTGGCATCGCGACAGTCAACGCCAGCATTCCCTCATCCAAACGCTTCGATCTGTCCGCTCCCTCATACGATCTCTACCGCCACAAGACCCTCCGCGATGACACAGTCCAGCAAGGATTCGCCTTTGACAACGTCAACCGCCGCCTTTTCGTCGCACAGCGCCGCGACGGATCGTCCGAAACAGCAGGCGACCTGACAATCACCCAGCTCGACTTTGACGGCAACTACGTCGGCCACATGTACCTAAAGGACTTTGGCCACGGCGTTTCCTTCGGCGCACAGCCCGCCGGGTCCGCAACCTACCTCTGGACGGAGGTCGAAGCCAACGCCAACGGCTACGGCAAGAGACTCGCCCGCTTCAAGTTCGCCTCTGGCACCACGCTGACCAGCTCCTCCGCTGGCCTGGCTAAATTCAAGCCCGTCGCAGACGCAACAGAGCATACCTGCGCCATTGACCCGGTCTACAACCGGTTGATCGTCCGGTATAACCTCAGCGGGGCGAGGCATATCGCCGTGTATGACCTCGCTGCCGCGACGAGGGGGGATTTCTCCGCGCCGCTGGCGAATTTTCAGCAGCCGGCGTTGAAGGCGCTGTCGTCGGTCTTTCAAGGTTATGCGGCGTACGGTCAGTATCTGTACCTGTTGACTGGGACTGCGTACGCGGCTAGCGAGGGGAAGGTCAATTCCGAGGTTACCAGTGTTGATATGAACACGGGCAAAGTGGTGCAGGGGCCGACGCTCACCAAGGCCGGGTCGACGCTGGAGTATAGAGAGCCGGAGGGATTGGCGATTTATAAGACTGCTGCTGGGGAGGTGAGGTTGTTCTTGGGATTTGCGTCGGGGGTTGCGGGTGATCGCAGGTCGAATCTGTTTTACAAGAATGCGTGGGCTTAGGTTGTCGCGATCAAGGATGCCTACTTGATTTGTGGGGATTTGTGTATAAACTCTTGGTTATAGACTATTTTGTACTACTAGAGTAACCTGGCTTTCTAGCCCCTAGACTGATTATCGTCACCGAATTGAGCTGAACAGCTACATAGGTTGTTTAACTGCCGAACTTTTGTGTCTGTGGCCCTCTGGACATAGAGTAAATAATCTGAAGAATGTTCGCAAACGATTCAATGCAACAATGTGCCCTCTATTATGTCCTAGCCTTCTGTAGAACATTCGGTCGAAGGTCTGTTGTCTGAAGACTCAGAGTACTGCGACGAGGACGGAGACAGCAGCTGGCATTGCGCGTTCCAACGACATATCCACAGGATGTTTATCTTCGATGTCAAAGCAAAAAAATTGATGTCATTCCGCATTCCTCAATGGGGCTGTCCTGACTGGAATGCTGACAACAACGTGGCGTAGCCGCATTCGGTAAGCGACACAATCGTTAAGGGTCTTATCACATTCCTCCTCGCTTCTAACAGCAAATGACGTATGTGCCGTCAAATAGAGCTGTTGAGATGATGGAGTCTGCCAAATGCGTCATCCGCTCCGGTGGAGTGGTTCGATATGAAGCATATATGGGGATAGTTTCAGATCTGGTGACGTGACGTGGGTCTTGTTATGCTTCTGGAAAATGACGTCGGCTGGATCATTGTCTGGCTGTGTTATCCGCAGTAGGTTATCTGCAAATATGCACGCCCTCGTCAGGTACACATACATCATTGGGCGTGGATAGTTGCATGCGGAAACCACTCCCGGAGCCTTATCAACAGGGGTATAAAGTACCCGACGAACGACGTCTTGGACATCATGAAGCTAACGCAATCAAAATGAAGATAAGGATGACTATACCATCAATTCCTGAAACCATCCCCGAGCACTCGGAGCTCAAAGGGAAAGCACCCCTGCGGGATATCTCCGGCATTCCAGCCAACCCACGGCGAACCATCCGGACTCCCTCGTGGGATCTCACATCCACATGGCTGATCGGCGCCAACGACGACATCCGCGCATGGTGGGACTGCATCGGTCCACAACTGGCCATTCTCGCCGATGAAGCGGGATACAGCGTGGCGGCGCAGACGGAGATCCTCCTGCTGCTGCACTCCGTCGTGCTCCCGGACATGGGCCGATTCCCTCCAGCGGCACAGAACAGACCAGCCGTGCAGTACAGCTGGAAAATCAACACAGACGACTATGACCATCCGATCCTCACCCTCACCGTGGAAGCGCCTGGCGAGCATGCCAAGGGGTCCAGTAGTATAACCCGGCACCACCTCCAAGCCACGCAGAATATCGTGGAGCAACTAGCAGCCCAACTTCCCCCGGTTGACCTTACTTGGTACCGCCATTTCCTGGCTGCGTTTCAGATCGACCATCATGCGGACCACTCCAGCCACCACCGGACGTTCCTACGCACTGACAAGGACACCACCCGGCCATGGATGCCTCTCTCGTTCGAGTTTACCGACACTGGCGTCATCCCAAAGGTCTACTTCTATCCTCCAGCGCAAGCACACGAGAGCAAACCTTCCCTGGCCATCTTCACTGATGCCATTCGGCCTCTATCGGGGACTAACCCCCTCCCGGCTTTCGAGGAGGTTGTGGCCTTTGTGGATAATCATCCGGTGGGCGTGACGCTCAACCCCGAAATGCTGGGCGTGGACTGTGTCGAGCCAGCGCTGGCATCACTGTATCTGCATGCCAGCACGCCAGTTACGAACTTTGAGAGTATTATCGCGGTCATGACGCTCGGCGGACGCGTGCACGCGATGGATATGGCGATCATGGAGCTGTGGGAGCTTCTGTGTTTGATCTTGCGGCCGAAGCATCGAGATAGGATGTTCTCGTGGGGCGATGAGCTGCCCGTGTGGAATGCCCATGCGCAGGGCGATGAAGAGCAGGGGCTGAAGTACTGTTTTGAGATTGTCCCCGGCGCGGAAGTGCCCGAGGTTACCCTCTACATCCCGGTTGTTCGGTATGGACCGGCGGATGAAGATGTGGCTGTTGGATTGGAGAGGTTTCTGAAGAAGAGAGGACAGGCGCAGTTTGCTGATGGGTTCTGGAGGGTGTTGAATATGCTGAGTGAGGGTTGGACGGACTCTCGACGGGTTGTGACGCATATCGCGTGTTCCTTTCGGGGCGAGTCACTAGATGTGACTTCATGTTTGGAGCCCGCTATTTTGCGCTCGCGAGATGATTAGATGATTAATGACAAGATATGATGTACGATATGTTATGGTGGTGTCAAATTGATTTGGAATTCGTGTATCTCCTGAACAACGTTGTAGGATGGTTGCGTAGAGGTAAACAGATCATACATACATCTTCTTTCTACTCAAGTGATTTGATTCCTTCAAGGGCATTATCAGTCCACTCCTTAAGCCTTTTCGCAAAAGTCGGGTCCTGTACGGCGGGCGATAACGTTCCAGGCACTCCCACAGGTTCATAATACGTGCCGCTTACCACCTCTGAGCTCGTGGCCGCCCATAGATGATTTCTGATCCCGGTAGTCACAGGCGCACAGAAGAACGGCGCAATAGGCTTAGTTAAGCGTGCAAGGGTACTTTCTTTCCACAATGAGGTAGCCATGCCCGTAAGAATTCTCCCTGGATGTACAGCGACTGATTTGACTTGTGGATAGTCGCGGCTGAGTCCTTGCATCAGGCCAATGAGGGCTGCTTTGCTCTGGCCGTAGCGCTTTGGATATGGCTAATACAATGTAAGTTAGCCACGCTATGAAGAGAGAAACCAGAGACTGACCAGATTCGAACAGTTGGTCTTTACAAGATCGAAATCGACGCCTTGTTTAGGCGCTGAAACGTGCCCCTCGCTTGACACAACAACGACACGTGCGTCGGCGCCGGGCTGTCGCTGCGTTGTGCGAAGCAGCATCGGCATTAGCAGTCGCGCCAAGAGGGCATGGCCGAGATAGTTGACTCCAAAATGGATCTCGTAGCCCTCCGGGGTTGTTGCCGGAGGGACACGGATGATACCTGCATTCAAAATGAGAATGTCCAGAAGTTGTTCTTGAGCAGCAAACTGCTGGGCGCATTTTCGGACGCTATCGAAAGACGCAAGGTCCAGATCGAGAAATCGGACCTCGGTCGGCGACGTTACGACGGCCGTTTCCGAGGTGGGGGATATGGAGTCCCCGTAAGCCTCGTCATGAATCCGGCGGATCAGAGCTTGTTTGGCGTCGTCGTTGCGGGGCAGATCTGCGATGTATATGCGGCTAGGCCGGCCATAACGAGCCAGCTCTATGGCCGTTTGTCGGCCGAGGTCGCCCGCGGCGCCCGTGATGAAGACGACCTTGCCTGCCATCGACGGGATATCTTGCGCCGGGTTAAAGGCAGGAGCACTATCGCGAGACGCGTCGTTGTTCGATCCGAATACAACGACGCGAATCATGTCCCAAATGTTACTCATGATGAGAGGTGGTGATGATGATGACTGGCAGACTAATTATGAGGGTGAATCTGCGAGTTTATGATCTTTTTAAATGTAGGCTTACGGCTTACCAGCTGAGATACTCGGCATGGAATAACTAGGATGCCACTTGTGAGGGGCTGGCTAGTACATTATTAATATAGCTAGTAGCTACACGAGTTGAATGGCTGGATATAAGAGGAGTGATAGTGGTCTTTCAGCCTGATGGGTTGGTCTTACATTGAACTAGTCCGTATAGGGACACGGAGGTGTAAGTTTATCTGAATATATATGGGCAGATATATGATTCTGTTCAGGATCCAAATTACTAGATCTAATCTACTTTCTTTGGCTTTAAGGGAGCACTACTGTCTGTTTTGTTATACTTTACATGGACAGGGTAAGGAGTAAGATATAGTACACACCATTCTGCCTGTTCTTATACTGCATGTATCATAATATGATTGCTTATTCTGTGCTATCTAACAACATTCATCCTACCCCACATTGTAAGTGACCTTTTACATTTTGTTCGGAATATTTACCTTGGTACTGTACTACAGGGTGTTAGGATCTAAGAGAGCACCTTACTGGAGCAGGTACAAGCTCATCTATTGTTCCTGAACAGGTCTGAAGACTTGGTCTGGAAGCCAACCTAGAATAAGTTGTTGCAAGTCAGACAGTTAGTGAACATGAGAGAAGGGTATACTGTGGATTCCTATCTTACGATATTTTTAGAGCAGAACTATGATGTTTGCAAAGCTTGTCTGACAGGAACCACCCGCCCCTTTCAGGTTTCGAGTTGTCCAACTACAACCAGACATCATGTTGATTCACTGGTTGACCCTGGGAGTGGACCAGTGAGGTCTGCAAAGGCTGCTGTTTCGTGGTGCAACAATGCAATTGAACTGCCTATCAACCAGTGTGGCCGGCAATGCCGACGTGATCGTAGGCGACTGGATATTTAAAATGAACATTGCCTGGAATGCCATCGCCAAGGCCGGGGATGCTTCGCTCGGCTACGAGGCCGGGTTCTCCTACAGCCGAGCGATTTCATAGATCCCATCGTCGAACGCGACACCAAAATGGTCACCAATGCTGGAGCGTTAAATACCGCTGCTCTGGCGGCGGAGATCCGGGCGACGTGTCTGGCCCGAGGATATCATGAGACCAAGATTGCGATGGCTTTGAGTGGTGATATCTTGGACTTGATCAAAGATCCTAAGATCCTGGGATCCGCCACAGCCTGGTTCATTTGGATCATACCGACTGGCAATTCTAAGACTGGCCCACGAGAGCCCACTCCGCCGTGGCATATCTTAGCGCGTGATATGTAGATATAAAGTGGTGGCAGCTGCTAGATCTACAAATAGCTGGGCCGATTGGCATAGGTAGAGATATGTAATCACTTTTGTACCTCCATCAAACTAGCAGGCAAGAGGTCGGTGTATGGATTCATCCACGCATCCATCCATACAACGGAAGAGGAATTGCCTTCTAATCGACACACTACTGTTCGCTGCTCTTCCCGAAAAATGTAAGCGAAAGGTTTATCTGTGGTCATTATCAATAATATACTTAACATTCTTGCTTATGCTATTTACTTGAATGGAGAAATGGATGTTCTGTGGCATAATATATACCAAACCAGCATAAACAACAGCACACATCAAATCTTCCGTCTAGCAACTGCCAACAAATGGTCTGCATTTCCCAGAATATTCTGGTCCTCGGCGAAACGAAGCACAACATCTACCCACCGCTCGTAAGCGTCATGCGGCAGTTCACTAATTTTGGAAGCTAATCCACCTCCTAGGAAACCTTCACAAGACACTAATCTCTCCAGCTCGAGCTCGGGGATTGTCATGAATAAGGCCCTCACTTTTTCCGGATCTGAGTGGTAGGAGGATATAAGCTGATTTCGAGTATATGTTCCCTCAGCAAGATAGTTTGCGTAAAAGGAATCATATTCCCTTACGAGACGCATAGGGTCTCGCTGTGCAAGATCTCGCAAGTGAGCATATTGGAGCATAAATGCAGCTAGAATAATCCCACTAGGTTTCAGAGCTGCAGCACATGCTGACAGAACGGCCCGGCGCTCATTTTCCTCAAGAAGATGATAAAGCGGACCTTGGCATAATACCAGGTCGTATTTTTGTTCCTGGAAGATGACAGGATTGGACCGGATGTCTCTCGCGTCGGCTTTGACAATAGAAGTCAGTTTGACTTGCGCTTCTTCAGCCGTACTGTGGGCTATCTTGAGCTCCCGGTCCGAAATATCCACGAGTGTGACCGAGTGGCCTAGCCTGGCTAGTGGCAAAGCTGTAAGGTATGAGTTCGAGTTCTCTGGAAATCACTCTGCTGGGGAAGGAATTCAATGCGACTAACCATATCGACCAGTTCCGCCACCAAGATCCAGGATTTCTAGTGCTCTGTCCCTACCCAGTTGATCCAGATACTGAGTGATAATTCTCCAAGAAATTGAGAACTCAAGTCGGCAACTAGTGAGGCGTTCATGCTCCAGCGCTGCATTCTGATCGTACCAGGTAGCTATCCTGTGCGCGTCCGTCATTATGTAGTGTCCGTATTATGGATGGGTAGTTTTCGTTCAAATAGCGGTCGAGTAATAGAGTCATCAGATGTGCCAATGTCGCTGCTTAAATTGCTCGCAGAGGGCAACCCGTGACTTCTTACGGCCGTAAGAACCCGAAGTGCGTACGCTAAATGGCTCATTTTAAATGCCTCATAATGGATTTGACCAATCGATGTCACTACATTACACAGACCAACAATGCGCTGCGTCCCACCTGAGACTCTCTCAAGAAAATGTCTCTATCTGTATGGGTGCTCTGAGAGATAGGCGTGCCCTGGGCGGAGATAATGGATAGCAGCTTCTCACTTTCCACATTATATACCAATAAATATACTAGTAGGTGGAACTATAGATATATAAGGACACTTATTCATGTTATATCTAGTATTCTTAGTTTAGTTTCTTATATCTAATATAAGTTATTTATTAAGTATAAGTTTATTAGTCTAATTTATTAGTTACTCTCCTACTATTATATATATATATAGAATGCCTTGCTTCTATCTACTCTTATTATTCCTATATTACCTTTAGATTATCCTTAACCCTAAGAGGATATTATATCATTATATCATCACAGCTACCTGGTCAGTAGACCTTAGGCAAGTATTAGATATAGTCCAGGGACTATATTGCCTGTTCCCAAAGTAGTTGACTAGTAGAGAATAGCAGAGACAGATCCCGAGGTGTGACATTACCATATTGAATGTAAAGGTGGTGCTGCTTAATATTATATTCCTATAGTCACTTAACAGAATCATAATGGATATTACACTCTAGACAAAAGTAATAAGGCTTCACAATGTGGTCTTAGAGCTCCTCACTAGTAGCATTGACTTAGAGTTAAGGACATATTATACTGATATTATGTCTGCTAGATAATTTAATATGTGTATATTTCTTCTAAGTCAAAACAAAACCTAGCAACACCTTTCACACCATTGATGTCATGATATCTGCCTTTAATAGGTGTAAAGTGCAGATTTAGAGCAGAAGAATCATTCATAGATAGTACATTGATAGTTCACACCATCACACGCGAGATACGGGCCCAAATCCATGCTGAGTTTCTTGCATCAAGCTGCAAATAGTCACGTAAGAGTGAAAATCTGGAGAATCCAGATTGCTGAATGAATATAAGGAGAGGGAGGGTTTGGTGGAAGGTTGATGCCAAGAGAGTAGATACAGATAGGCATTTCAAGCTTGGACAGGTAAGGGCTCGAGCCAAACTAGGCTGCGTCCATTGTTGGCCTGAATCTGATTTTCTTGTGACTGTAGGCTAACTATATTCAAGAGGGTTTCATTACTCAATAAAGCCATAGCAGCGCGTGGGTGAGTAAAACCATAAAGCCTAAAAGGATGGCATATATGAATTTCTGGGTGTGCCTAGATTCAGAGGTGATGGGAAAACAATCAAGCCCTACAGGGTAAGTAGAGACTGTTTGCTCATTTGTTTGGTGCTGGTGATCCTTTCCCAGATAGTTTCTTATTGCAGGAGCGAGCACATGGTTAAACCACTCATGGTACTAAAAATAGGCAATAGCACAAAGAGCAAAAGCGAAAAAGGAACAACAAAAAGGCAAAAGGGCAGAAGAACAGCAGAAATTAGGGGAGAAGGATGCTGTTGTTTAATTGTTTTTGCCCTGTCTGCTGCATGAGTCTAACTTGTCAGCCACTCCAGGTTTCCGGCGAACCCAGGCTACCTAGGTAATGTGGAGAACCGGCCAAAGACGTAGTTTTTCTTGAGGATTCTGAAACAAAGAGGAGATAACCTTGTAAAGATGGCGGTAAACTTACCACACTGTCGGGAAACTGTTCCACTCATGTAGTAGATAGCTTCCCTAACTTCGAGAGGAAAGTGACAGGTCCAGGAAGTAGGAAGGCGCTAGAAGGACTAGAAGAACGCGAGAAACATGTAATACATATACTAGTCTAATTGGGGCTAGTAGTCCGTTTATGGTCTTTTGCCTGGTGGCTCTGGCGATCAGTTGTTATTTTTCATCCAGACCTCGAGGCTCAAGCTACTCCATCTACATAAATTATTTAAAAAGCTCGTTCAACTCTCTTCAGTACTCAGTGATTTAGATCTCCCTCCAGGCCATCAATTCTACTTGTACCTTGAATGGACTATACTCCTTGTTTCCGTTCCCAACCGTCAGGATGTACAGCCCTATACCTTTCTTCAGAAGAAACTCGCCAGATGATGCATATTCTTTCAATGTTAATAGTGTTTCAAGCTCTTCCAGTCAGAGCAACAACTTTAGTCTCCATTCCCCTGTTGAGGGGGAACCCCTGGCCTTTACGACTGATTGGATAGCTACTACATCTTCGCCGCAAAACGTTCCTCTTGATACAACTTCGCAATTTGATTGGCATTTCCCGTTGTCTACAATGCCTCAACCAGCTTATGGGCCAGCTGTCCTTCCCGTCAATCCAGGGCCAGAGGCAGCACAACTACAAGACAATCAACTTTTCGTGGAGACGAGCCAATCGCAAGGCTATATCATTGAGCACAGCATGCAGGGAGACGCAATTCCACCATCCATAAATCAAAGCCATCCTCTCCAGTCCGTGCGCCGGGGCGAGGCCAGCCAGACTACGGTTAGCCTGTAAGTTCCCCTGGCTCGAGAAACTAATCACGCTAATTTGATCTCCCTCATAGTTCAACAGCTCGAAATGCCCATCTTGTGTGCAAGTGGGAGGGATGTACCTACAAAAAACCATTCAATAGGAAGGCAGACCTCTCTCGTCATGTCGAGTCGATGCATATAGCTCCCCGATCTTACTGCTGTCTAGTTGAGGGATGCTCTAGACTTTTCAGCAGGAGGGACAGACGCGATGCGCATATGCTGCAACGTCATTTTGTTTCAGAATTAGAAAAGCAGCGGGATCCACCAGTATAAGCAATGTTATGGAGCTTTTCCTCTGCAAGCATTTTCGTGGCTACACTTTGACAGGTGATAACAGCCCTTTAGCCTCTCCATTTTGACAATGATATTCAGTTCCAGTAATATCGATGTTGATTTATTTTTATTATCTTATTATAGAATAAGAAGACACATCTAGTAAGGTACGAAGGAAGAGATACCCGAATGCTGAGGGCATCGAAAACGCCCTACAAGCTGACAAGGCACACCTCAACAAAAATTGAGCAGGTTATTCCAAATTCATGGGTCGGGCAACATGGAAGGGCGTCTGTACGAATACAGGCAAAATGACAGGATGAACTTGAGGTCAAGCTGTTCAGACGCAGGGGTTCAGCCCGAGGTTTCACCTGCATAGACGCGGGTCTTTGATCCTGCACTACACACGGACAAGAGTGGACAGGTAAAGCCTTGGGCATTCTATTCATTCTTCTTATTCGACCATTACCAACCTTAATTCCTTGTGTGGTTAGAGATGCTGTTCCACACACTTGAAGCCCCGGGTGCCACGCGGCAAGGATTCATGTTGGACAGTGGAGGGGTCCTTGCATGATCGTCGCTCCAATTGGTCGATATGATGTCGGCTGAGTAGGATGAGACTGACAAATGCCGAATATCAGGGGTGGGGGGACTTAGATATTTTCCATATCCGTTCCGATGAAACATCTGGGATGTGATTCCTCACATGGCGGCGATGGTCCTCCCCACCTGCTCTTCCCGTCCCCAGCCAGACTCAGAAAAACGAACTAGACTCGTATGGTATCAGACGATGATTGGCCTTTCCTTGCTGGAACTCCAGGTTGTCGCAGCCAGTGTGTTCGAGGCCACGTGGCTTTGTTTGACGTCGAAAGTTTGTCTATCACTGCTTCGGTAACGTGTTCCTTGCTGGAAGCTATGGTGCACCTACTTATCAAGTCGACCTAAACAGGCGCTAGAAGAAATTTAAAACTGCTCGGAAAAAGAGACTGATGCTATTGGACTGCTGTGTGATCAGATCTGGCACCTAATTAGCTCAATTAAAGGCTAATTCCAAGATTATGAAATGTGTGATTGCGAACGTGCTATAGGGAGATAGAATGGACTGGTGGGAGCTGTTGTTGTGACAGTGAGTCTAAATCAACAGCCACCAACTCTAAAGCAACTGAAGGGGCATGCATCTGTTTCAGCCTGATGCTTCCGCCGGAGAGGAAGATGCACGGCAAATGAGAGACCCGCACTGTGCTTACGGTATATATTTCATGATCTGGAAAATCCAAACTCTCTGGCATTTATTACCAACAGGCAGGAGACACAGCTCCTCTACTCATAGGAATATACAACACCACCTAATTTCGGCAAAGACCAAATAAAAGTGCACCTCTGGAAGACGCATTAGCTCAAGTATTCAAGGCAGTTTACCACTATTTCTTAGTAGTTCTGTTACTGTCAAGCCTGTAACCGTGGACTCCACGCGCAACATCGTGTACTAGCAGTAGGCCAATATTCGGGGGCTATGCCAGGTGACTGAACCCTTTTGCTGTTCGCCGAGTGCTTTCGCATACCGAAAATATATAACCCAACAAATATCCGCTGTTGAAGTCAAACCTACCAGGCAGCCCCGAGTTCTACCTGCCAATCGGTTTGGAAAGGTCTACGAGCGCTTCCATCTCATTAGCAGTTCCAGGCCCATAGTCATTCCGATCACCGCGCCCCTGGGCTTTCTTCTTCTCATATTCTCGCCGAATACTAGTTACGAAGCTACGGAACCGATTACACATATTCAGTACCTTCTGAAAATATGTTTTAGTGACAATCGTCACCAAGGTTTCATCATAGTCAGGATCCTCTTCGTTTCTCAAGCTCTGCCAGTGTGATAGCCGTTTGTAATGCATTGCGGATATCCCGCCCGTTGAGCTGCGTCTCGCCTGCGGTCTCCAGAACCCATGCCTTCGCGTCTTGGGGCGATCTGGATCTTGCCCGCTCGGTCACGAACTGGTTTCCGGAAAAAGCCGTTCCACGCCTTACGACGTGCTTCTTCGCCAAGGGATGGGTATCCAATTGCGATGTGGACACGGGATATAAAAGCGTCGTCTATTTGGCCGACGCGATTGGTGGTCAGGAAGAGGAGACCTTTGAAGTACTCCATTCGCCGGAGGAAGGCTGCGTAGTAGTCGTCAGTATTTGTGGACAAGTTGATGACGTGATTAGCATGTTACCTGATACCCATCCGTTCCGAGCGAGATCTCTGTCTTGTCGTCGTTCGAAGAAGATATCAGCTTCATCGACGAGGAGTACAGCATTCCAGGCTTCTGCGAGGTTAAACCACTTCAAGAGTTCGCCTTCGACTGGCGTTTCGACAGTGCCGATATCAGCGACTGTCAGTGCAAGAAGTGGCCGGCGTAACCATTCAGAAATGGCCTCCGTCCTTCATTAGTTCAGCTCGTCTACAAAGCCGCCTCGTTTCTCACCTAGAGCCTCTAGGAAATTATTTAACTAGTGTGCTAACACTTTTTGACCTCTAGTAACAGGTCAGTATTAGACTGTTAATATAGAGGATGGTTATATATATAGAGTTAAAGATGGTAAATTCCCCTCTAAACAGTATCAAGTAAAGAATAGAGATACCAAATTCTAGAGCAGTCATATGCCGGTTCCTGCCGTCATATAATCTGCCCTGAAGGATATCATATTGATGCTTGAACTCCGAGCTGTTTCGTTCGAACAGCGGGAATTGATATAGTCCTAGGATCTGTGAAAGCCCAATTACCATCCTGCTGACACTCAAGCCTTTTCCTTGTATATAGCTGGACAAGGTCCAGTAGATGAAGCCTAGATTGGATACAAGCAATTTAACCAAAGGCTTCTGCTCTGCCAAGGGCTTCCGTGGCACTGGTGATGCAGTCAACTTCTGGGAAAGGAAGGGCATTCCCATTTCACTGCACTACAGATAATAGCTCTTAAAGTTAAGTCATCGCTAACGGACTGGCTGTGGTAAAGAAAAGGCGCATGGTAATAGACTTGTCACTAGGAAACCCAGATGCAGAGGCCGTGAGAATTATTTGTATGCGAAAATTACTGTCCTTGCATCCCGTCCCGGAGCCATTTTATCCAGTCAGGTTATTGCCTTAGCCTTCCTTGCCGCAACCTCCGCCCATCCGATCGATCCCGCGGCAGTTGCTGGACAGATGCACGATCAAGGAGGAGCAAATCCACGGTCTTGGAGGAATTACTGCACCGTCTATACAGGGATTGACTTGTTCAATACAGTATAAGCTATATATTCCTGGCAGTGCAGCCCTGAGAAGCGTGATATGCTGCTCTGACGTACGCTGGGACATCTTGAGTTGATAGATTGATTTGAGGCCCTGGAAGCGAGCTTAGCTGAACTTTACCGTGCCTATAAGCGTGAGTGCGCGTAAGAACTCGGCTCGTGGTGGCATTGTACTGGCGCTATCAACAAGACAGCCGCATACAATGCTCAGCCTTATTGAAAAGGCCCTAGGAAATTTCCCGTCGACAGTTAACTTCAAACTGTTTTTACTCACCCGCCGGTTGATCGACCATGACACTGTCAAGTTCACCCAGGAAAATGTACACATCTCAATACATGAAGGTCGGATTGGGCCGGAATACTGGGAACAATCCCCAGAGCCAAATGCATTCGGAGATGCGGCTGAGGATGGGTTACAGGCTGCTGGTGTACCACAGCAGAAGATTCAGGGGGAGGGGTTATTACTTTCAACGTACCATTGACTCACGAGTCCAAGCACACTAGGATCCGTCAGCCAAGCATAGAACTAGTTCAGCGGAAGGTTGGATTATTTCCTGTACTAATCTGTCGATCCTAAATATGCAAATACCACGATGGGCCATATCAACGCCAATGTACCGGTTAGCTTAAAGTGCTGACTGTCATTTGTTTCCGATCCTGATGAAGCCAGCAAGTCGAGTTAACTATATCCATTTGGGTGCTTGGCCTGGACTGTCCATGGGTCAAATTATTTAGGAACCGAGGAAATGTAAGCCAGGAAATATGTACAGAAAAGGGCAAAAGCGTCACCTTATCAAATAATGCCCAGGGGGACTGACCTTTCAGTCTTTGCGGGTCTCCAAAAAGTAGTGGGTCCATCTATTTATTTTCCCTCGTCTAAATCCGCCCCATTGTTGTCTAATAATTGAACTTATATGGGATTGTGCGTTGCGTTCAACTCCAAGTGTGGCCGAGATCCATGGGAAGGTGGCGGCTGTTGGTCGACGTCACAACAAAGCGGCGTATCAGAAAAAGGCCCAAGGTTCGGTGGCAGACAAGACAGATGCAGAGTACGAAAAGTGGACCACCAGAAGCCCACCAGTAAACTGTGTTACCGTCAAGGCGCTGCCCAAGAGCGCCGATATGAAGATGGAGGCACTGCCCGTGAGCCGTAAGCTGTTCGGGGATTGTCTTCCCCGCATGAGGCCTGCCAGGGAGGTTGAGAGCGAAGGAGATAGGGTCGGTTCAACCCTGAAGGAAACCGAGAGCTCTAGTGGATGTGGGGCCGTTTTACATTTAAGTTGCCAAGCCACCGGCCAATATGTCCGTAAAGAGCCCTTGTTCTCCACAAACGGCAGAGGCTCTCGACTTGGTCTTTCGCCTCCCGGTATCGCATGTGACGATTGGATTCCAAATACTTCATCAACTGCTCCCGCCAATTTTAACCACTCACAAGCGTTTCTTCCCATTACCCATATCCATGGGGCCGGGAGGAGTTTTGTCACAAGAGAATAGATGTCCGGTTGGAGAGGCGGCTTCCCCCACTTAAAGAGGATCATCACCGTGCTAAATTTTAAATGTGCAATAGAGGGAAACGCGAAGTACAACGATGTTCGATACATGCTTTAATAGAAAATGCATGTGCTTGCGGTCGCTACAGCTTTCAGCGGGCTATCAATAAGTTTTGTCGTATTACGGCTTTACACTCGGTTCGCTGTTATTCACCGTGCTGGGAAGGATGACTATGCCATTATGGCGTCTTTGGTCAGTTCAATGCCCATCCCGGCGACACTCAATATCATCCTAATACACTCGTCTGCAGATGTTTGCGATAAGTTCATTCTCCATGCTGGCATTAGGTGGGTTGGGGGCATGTTCTCTTCAGAGTAGATACTCATATCTGTGCGATAGAGGTACATTATGGCGTTGGAAAGCCGAAGACGACACTTAGTGTGGAGCACATAGAGAGGCAGTTTTTGGTATGTCCCCACAAATGATATACCATTATCGCAGCTGAACTACAGTAATGAACAATGAGGGTTCTAACACGGGCCGGCACTTGAATCCAGTTTCTATGGCTGAGCATTCCACTCTACAACCTGTCTCTCACTTTCACCAAAGCCTCTATTCTATTGTTGTATCTGCGCATCTTTGCGATCCCTCGGTTTGTCCTTGCGTCCCGTATCGCACTCGGAGTAATAAGCATCTATGGACTCTGGTGTGTTCTCAGCGCCATCCTTAACTGTATCCCTGTGAGCGCTTTCTGGGACTCGACAATCCAAGGAAATTGCATATCCAGGAAGTTCCTCTGGTTCTTCAACGCGTCATTGAACATTGTCACCGATTTGGTTATTCTTATTATGCCAATACCCGTTTTATCTCGCCTGCACCTGCCGCAAAAGCAGAAGTTTGGCGTGATCGTTGTCTTCGCAGCTGGTATCTTGTATGGTCACCTTTTTCCTCCTGGAACTTGCAATTCTGAACTACGAGGCAGTACCTGCATCACGAGCATGATTCGTCTCAAGTATGTGGCCACAGCAACCGAGGCCACAGATACGACAAGTGAGTTGCCGACCTACTTTCATGACATTGGCTAACCCACAGATCGGATCCGCAGAGTCTTTAGCTCCCATCGCCGGCTGGTCCTTCATTGAGATGAATATGGGAATCATCTGCTCCTGCCTGCCGCCGCTACATCCTCTCATGACGCGAGCCCTTCCGTGGCTGCGATTCATTCCTCGGTACCACGGCTCCTGGTTTCATATGCCCTATTCTGGTCACCACCCAGGACAAGATTCTGTGGCTCTTGCTAGACGACGGGACCCGAAACACTGCGACAGAGGAATCACAATCACACAGGAGCTACACTTGGAGACTTTAGAAGCCGCCGTCCCGGGGAATATGGAAACCCTCTAATGTATTTGCTCCGTGAGGGAGAACCTGCGATGTGTCATGACTGATAGCACGTAGACAGTACAGTTCGTCCCACCCGTTCGCATGCTGAGATATGCGCGCTGCTGAAAGTCGTGACAGGCTTGGCGATAGCTGGTGCGGCTCCACTGCATCCTAGCGCAATTGTGGCTCATGCCTGGCCTCATGGATATTAGGATTGGTCTCTACTGGGAAGTAGCCCTCAGCCCACAGCGATCATGGACAACCCACAGGTGGCGGTATACTCCTAAGAGAGAAAGTATAGCGGGATCGGTTCTGGGATCCCCCTCGTTTCTGAGAACGTAATATCAACCTGGATACTTTTGCCCTGTACTGCGAGTACGCCAATACACGGAATTATTCAGTCTCCGAGACGCTCTTTGTTCGCACAATAGCTCTCAGGCGTCGCCGAGCTTCGAAGGACCGTTCGCAGTCATAGTGCCAAAGCACTCAAGGGAGAGCCGCACGCTCCTGCATTCACTCTTCATCCATGTTCGGATCTACATTCATGCAGGTAAGCATGAATGGGAACCCTTGAAGTTGCTTTCCTTCCAGAGCTTTCAGAACACTCTGGAAAGGTGTCCCTTGACTGCCACCTTTATTGATGAGCTGGTGCCAATATTTCATTTTATCTCCAAGCAAGCGTCAGGGCGGTACATAACGGATTATGAGCGATCTTTTACATCTTAATGCGAGAAGTGTCTCGCGTCCTCTTTCTTTCCATACGTCTTATCATCTACATGCATGACTGCCGATAAATCGGCTCAATACGTGTGGAGGTGATGCTGAGATGATGCTGAGATGATAGCATGAATCATTAGACAATGTCTATTACTTCCACGTTATCTCCATAGCTGGAAAGTTTTTGGCATGACAGTTCGTTGATCGGACTTGGGCAACTGTTGGACTTGTAGGTAGACCCACACAATGTCCGTACATAGCCAAACTGCCAATCTAGATTCTAGAACCTTGGTCCCATCAGCCAGATTCCAGATCCATGGGTAGCCTCGCACAACACAATGTGGGGATGATATAATCATGACCCGATCACCCTTATCCCTCTTATTTTATTTTTATTTTTATTTTTTAAACAAAAAAAAGCATTTAGATAAATTAGGTATATCCCTAGAGTAGCCAGCTATTTTGTCATGCCCCAAACATGTATCGCCGCCCAATCCTCCGCCAATCTCTCAGACACCACTTCATCAAAACAATGGCAACTAGCGCTCAGTTCGACGCTATTATCATCGGCTCCGGTCAAGGCGGCACACCCCTTGCAAGAGCCTTCGCAGAGGCAAATCACAAAACCGCCCTAATCGAACGGCAACATATCGGCGGCTGCTGTGTCAATGAAGGCTGCACGCCGACTAAAACATTAATTGCTTCTGGACGAGCTGCGTATTTGGCCAGGAGAGGACCGGACTATGGTGTCCGTATGCCTGGTCTGGAAGATGGGAAGAATCAGGTTGCTATCGATATGGCCAAAGTCCGACAGCGTAAGCGTGATATTGTGCATTCGTTCCGGGCCAGCAATGAAAATAGTACAAAGAATGCGGGCGTGGATGTTTTGATGGGCGAAGCTAGTTTCGTCGATGAGAGGACTCTCTCTGTGGTGATGGGTGACGGGAGTAAGAGGGTGGTCAGCGGGGACAAGATTATCATCAACACTGGTTGTCGACCAGCGGCTCCAACACTCGATGGGTTGGAAAGCATTCCCCGAGCGAGGGTGTTGGATTCGACGTCTATCATGGAACTAGGTGAAGTACCAGAGCATCTGATTGTCGTCGGTGGTGGATACATCGGGGTCGAATTTGGTCAATTGTTCCGGAGACTCGGGGCTAGGGTTACCATCCTCCACCGTGGGCCCCAATTGCTCCCGCGAGAGGACAAGGAGCTGGCGGACATGCTATTGGATATTTTTCAGGAGGATGGCATAGCCGTATACCTGAAAACAACACCCATTCGTATTTCGACTTCCTCCGAGCAGTCCTTCGACGTTTCCATCGTGACCAGTCAAGGCAATGAGGTCGTGAATGGTGCTACGCATATCTTGTTTGCAACAGGAAGAGTACCAAATAGTGACCGCCTCAACACCGAGGGCGCAGGAATTAAAACGGACAGAGCGGGTTATGTTGTTACAGACGAATTCCTTCAGACATCCGCCCCTTCTATCTACGCGATGGGCGATATCAAAGGGCCCCCGGCATTCACACACATTTCCTACGATGACTTTCGTGTCCTCAGATCATCTTTGCTGTCTTCTACCACTTCACCCTCCAGGTTCTCTGTAAAAGACCGGCTCGTGCCATATGTCGCTTATACGGACCCGCAATTTGCCCATGTCGGTTTGCACGAGCATGAGGCGCGAGCAAAGTTTCCAGACCGAAAGATCATGACTGCAGTAATGCCCATGAATTATGTGGCTAGAGCGTTGGAGACAGAAGAGTCGAGGGGTGCGATGAAGGCAGTTGTGGATGGGGAATCGGGAACTATCCTGGGTTTCTCCTGCTTAGGCGCTGAGGGGGGCGAGCTGATGAGTGTCGTGCAGATGGCGATGGTAGGGAACCTATCGTATCAGAACCTGCAACATGCTGTATTTGCACATCCGACTTTTGCCGAAAGCTTAAATAATTTATGGGGGTTCTTGCGATGAAGCTCGTCGTTTATTTGGCCTTACGGCGTCTTTGAAGCGCCGACATATTGAAAAGCAGAGTGCGTTTTCCAAATTATATAAAAGTATGCAGCTTAGTCTGTGCTGCGTTGAGTATATATAGGTGTTTGTAACTCTTCACTATACATATAACCTGATCAGTTCGCTTTATGACCAACTATATAGTTACTATGGGCCATTTCGAATGACCATAATTATGGAATGAAGACTCGCCAAATTTACAGCCACTTATTTGTAAGTACAAAAAATTAGATTAGAGAGAGATAATGGTACGATTTCTTATAGACCTTGGTTGAAGAAATCATACTTTTATCTCACCGAATATAATAATTCACACCAGCCTTACGCAGCTCTCGAGGCAATGAATACCTCTTTCTCCCCCAGTGCGTGCAGAGCGGCATAGCCGCCTACTCTCAAGGCTATTATTTCATAAAAGTGATATTACGCACCCCCATCCTCCCTCGTGAAGCCCCTCTAGCAATATAAAAGGGTCATACCTGTCCACCGCAAGTCTAATGGATACCGCGAGCTCCGTGCTCGCTTCTGGATTGCTCACGGAACCCCTCAACTAAGGCACGACTTGGTCCATTGTTTGACTGAGATACCTCGTAAGTGCTTGTCAGAATAGATAATATTAATCAAGTTCTCTAGACCACGGCACTTTCCTCTCCGAACTGTTTGCTGAATTCAAAGACACCGATTGAATCCTCACCTGAGGGCCTAAGGGCCTATTTGGGGGTTTTCTCGAATTTTCAGGCAACTCTGAAGCCTGAACGCGAACAGCGCCGCCACGATGTTAGAAGGGTCCAGCTTATGAGAAATTTCTTATTTTCATATGCTGTCTTCTATGCTTATTCTGTAGAGGTTGGAGGTGTCTGAGTATCTTTCACTATGAGCTGGTACAAAGCAATATAGTTCATTCGTGAGCATGGAGGAGGGTCCTGAGTTACAATCCACGTGCAATGGCAACTTAAGCTAGAGGACTGTTGTGCTCGATCTGACAATCTAAGGTGGCGGGCCTTGTTGTAACAACAGAAGTGCGATGTGGATAAACAGGTGACTATCTATAGGAGACACAGCGGAAAGGGATCTGCTAGGATCTTAGCCAAGGACAAGTAGTTATTATATTAACAGGCGCTGCTGTTAATAACAAGCCTACCTACCCAAGAGGTGTCACAAAAAGAGTTTATTATGCTAGCGGAGCATATCCTCCTTGGGGAGATATTTTCCACTTGGCCCACTTCAGATGTGTTAGAAGATCAGTGGATAAGGTGCAATAAAGCTGTAGTGATTGTCCGATGGATGTACAGTATTAAAGTAAGTATGTAAATAGAAACACTCTATAGGTAGAAAGAAGATATATAGTTAGTATGCATTATAATTAAAGATCTAAGACCTATAGTTAATTATTTATAGCAAGTATATAAACTACTCCTCATAATATAGCAGCACAAAGTGAAAATACCATGATTAGAGGACTAAACTAATAATAACCCCTGGAAGAGAAAATATAAGAGTGCCATTCTAGAATCTGTTCTAATAAGGAGTTCCTTAAAAGTAAGGGTAAATAGACAGACATGCTAGTTATAGATAACTTAGCTTGCAAACTGTTTACTTAAGCATGGTATTTTTTTAGTCTTTTCGTTCCTAAGCTGTTTTCCTGCGTGGTTCTGTCACCCATGCTCAACTGTGCATGTGACAGTTATGATTAGTTACTACTCTAAAGAAAAGGCTTTCTAAATTATCCTAGATTAATTTTTCTAAAGAATCTAACCAGTTCTGTAATTTATTTATCCTTTATAATGGCTTTGATAGTGCAATAATAAACTCTGGAGACGTTGCATTAGAGTTCTTTCCGGGGATGAGCCTATCCTCGAGAATTGACAGCTCACATTTGAACAGAGTTAAGCTATCCATTGATCTGTAGGCGCCGGGGGTAATCTTGACTAAAAGGTCTGAGCTTTCGTGCGAGAGTCTTGGAATCCTGGATAGTCCTTCGTGCTTAGCCGGGGGTTTTGCCTCTTTGTATGAGATGGTCCGATAGTGTAACGTGGCCTGATCTGATGGCAGCAGCATCCTCGATAGCAGTGAAATGAAACCATATATTGTTCTAGTGGCCGTATCATAATCTTATAGCGTCGTACTCGACAACGGAGATTTGTGGATGTGCTCATCCTCCACAGCGAGAACTTTGGCCTCTGGGTCAGCAATTCATTAAAGACTGCAATGAGACTTCGCCCCCCGGAGCCGTTGCGGTGAGGGGCAACGGCTCACTAAGTATTAGCTATTTCAGTAGACCAATAACAACAGCCTCATCAAACTGGTAACGGGGAGAAAACGGACACTTGCATCCTTCCGCGTGTCATGTCACCGGGGGAAGTGGAGGTCTGGGCGTGTTGGCGCGATTTGATTGCTTTGGACCATTAGCCCCTTTGGGCGGGTGTTAAACATCCCTGCTAGAGTCTCAAGTAGTGTCAAAACGGTTTTTCTTAAAGGACAGCTTGCTCCGAGACATTCTTGTGTTTCGTTTTTCATCTTCGAGAAACTGTCTGACTGAACAGAATGGCGGAAGAAAATCACACCTCGACTTACAACAGAGGAACTTTGGAGGTGGAGGTCAGTTCCGCCCTCAGCACAGCCGAATAAAGCTGTAGAACTTGGTCTCATCAGTTCTCTAGGACGATGAGAATCTGTACTCGGACGACTCGGGCTCTTTCGTTGATAGGTGCGTGTGACTGCCCGACACCACATCGCCTTCACCTAACAAGACACACAGCTCCGGCGTCAGCGAAACAACATCTATTTCTTCCAGCATTCGCCATTATAAGTACGTATAAATTTATTTATTGCACTGCAACGTCTAACCATGTCAGGTACGAAGTAAGTGTTTACAAAATGTATTTCTCGAGCAGGACTGAGTATGTAGAATGGTCGGCGATACCACGCATTCCGAGAGGGCTCATACAACATGGTACGTTGTTTGATCATTAAGTAAGAACTAGCTAACGTTCAGCAGCCGAATGATGAGAAGGAACAAAACCGTCTAGATCTGGTACTTGTGTCAATATCACGCGGTAATTCAACACTAACCCTGGAAGCACCACCATATCCATCGGTTGAAGCTGGACGGGCAGCTATTCCGCTCTCCCATCCCGAGCGATGTCTCCCGAATTCTCGATCTGGGGACTGGCACCGGTATCTGGGCAATCGAAGTGGCCGAGTGAGTACATTTCTATCGATGAAGTCGCTCATGCTAATGTCGCAGTCAATTCCCCACGGCGAAAGTCATAGGTATGTCCGAAGGAACGTGACTATGGCCATTGTCTGACTCTCCAGGAAACGATCTGAGCCCCATTCAGCCTACATGGTACGGGATGACTGATGTCTTTGGAGATGTCCAGCTAATATCATGCCAGGGTTCCCCCAAATCTCAGCTTTGAGGTGGACGATTTCGAGTCCGAATGGGAATACTCCAAGCCATTCGACTTCATCCACGCTCGCGACCTGCAAGGCTCGGTATCCGATTACGATCGCCTCGTCCAGCAAGCCTCCAAGAACCTGACGCCCGGCGGATGGTTCGAATTCGCAGATGCCGACTTGCTCGTTTGCTGCGACGACGATACCGTCAAAGAGGCAAAGAACATGCTCGAGGCGAACCGGCTGGTATGCGATGCAAGCGCAAGGTTCGGCAAGCTGATGGGAACGGCCAGCCAGCACAAGAAGCGCCTTGAAGACGCAGGATTTGTCAATGTCCGCGAGGAGGTTTACAAGGTGGGCAGCAGTGAGTATAGTTATTATCCAACCAAGCACTAACCGGAGACACAGATTCCTTTCTCGCCCTGGGCAAAGGACCCGAAGCTGAAGGAACTAGGCAAATTCCACCAGGTCAATATGCTAGAGAGCCTGGATGCCTACAGTTTCGCTCTGATGACACGGGTTCTCGGATGGCATATCAATGAGGTGCATGCCCTTCTTGCTGGTGCCAGGGCGGAATTGCTGAATCGTAATATCCATATGTATGCTAAGTGGTATCATGTTTACGGCCAGAAGCCAACCGATTAGGAGACTCCGTTTAGAGCAATGAATTAAGCATTGTATGGATTTCTCTTCTACTCACTTGAGCATTCACTTAAGGTTGATGTCAGTGACGGGAAGATACCGTTCGTTATTCACCACTCTGCAGGAATCTAACACCCTTCTTTCACTCCTTTCTATCCTTTTTATCTTTTGTCTCGGACAAGTCTCTACTACGATCTTCTTGACGGTCTTGTAGTTCCCAATTTTATAATGCTCAACAGGTGTCTGAAGCCGTCCAGATTAGTATTTTGCCAGCGGAAGCCAAACTAGAGTGCCGTGGCCTGTCTCGAAGGTGAGACCCCGTCTATCTACTGGTACTACATACTGATCGCATGGCTTGACAGGCTAACCCTCAGCTAAGAAGACGTTTGTCTTTCCCGGTGTCGAAGTAGTTGGACAAAATGTTTGGTCGCTACGAATGACCGCAGCTGAGGACGATTACGGCGATCGTCCAGCTTAAATTCCTAGTCACTCCTGCAGACCTACCCAGAATAGAGCGATAAGGATGGTGGTTATGACGCCTATTTCGTGGGAGACATGCGAGTTGGGGGAGAAATAAACCAAAGAAGAATCACGGTACTCCAATATCAAATCCAGAAACGACGAATACAATGCAATCAATTGCGCAAAGACGGCAATCCCAAATGGCACACCTGTATATTCACCTCAGTGGACACACAAGGCTTAACCCAGGACTGACTTATTTAGACAGTCACCAGTCGCGCCCACAGTATCACTCCTATTCTACAAATCAATCTCCTCGCATACATCCTGTTATCAATCCAAATGCTCTCTTCCTGTATGGATTGCGATGCTTACTAGGCTTAGAATTAGGTTTACCGATGGTGCTTATTGTGTGACAGCCATGATCACCACGACAGCTTGTCTATACTACGTCATTGAGCTACTTCTTTTTTTTCATAATAGCAGAAATAGTTATTAATCTCTTATTATTTCAGATAAATGACAGTACTTTTGTATATCCCTATTCCTTGACCATTAGGTCGAACCGTGCCGGTGCCCTAAGCACAATGGGCGGAGAGAATCTCATCGTTCTCATCCACATGGATGTTCAGTCTGTGGCCATACAGTCAGTCACAGCTACTGTAGCGCATAGCGTCAAGGAAACAGTACCTGGAAGCATTGTACTCCATGGTGGTCATGTCGCCAGGGTGGAGGACACGAATGGGGTCCGACTGCAACACATTTGCCTGTCCAGAGTCAGCTTCGTCCTGGTCTAGAATATCTCAGCTCAAATACATACCATAGCCTCGGTGTACAGCTGTCCGACTAGCTCTTGCTTCACGAACTGGGCTTCCTTTTCGCAGGTCTTGGGGTCGGCGAGGACGGACTGGAATCCAGCCAACGCAAGGAGACAAGCAAGGGAGAACTTCATGGTGATCAAGGGTTGACGGTTTGAGGTCTGAATGAATTGGGTGAATTAAGTCAATGAGTCGATGAGGATTGTTGCTGATGATCTCTAGCAGACTGGACTGGATCTTGCCTCCTTTTTATATCTTTCGACTGTCAGCGCCACGGTGATGTTGTACTGTGTTGCTTGGCAGGTACTCCTTGGCATGTGCGATAAACATAGATGATTCTATGGGAATCATCACAATTGCCTCATTCTAGAATCATACAGACAACAGGTGGATAACAGTCGCCAAGACGAGCCATTTGTCTGATGTGAAAATTTTCCCTGTCGGAGTGGTATTGATGCTATTGTCAGGCCATCCGCCTGCATGTCTAGAAAATCGCAAGGGATCCTGGTATTTCCATTACTCAGACGTACATACAATGCATCATCTTGACACAGAACTTGCAAGGTTGTGCCATCTAGACTCGACAGAATTTTCATGTTGGAAGCAGCTGGACCTTGACACCGATCTAGAGGGGTGTAGCGGGAGAATGGGGTTGTCATTGTATTGTCAGTCAGGTACAAATTATCCAGCTCATGCTGTGTTGACATTCCTCACGAGTCGGCTATAGGCGGACTCCTGAGGTCGATTGACGCGACTGGGGTGTAGTCCGCAGCTAACCGACCGCAGGCGAGGCCCTGGTGCATATTAAATATGCAACCTGCAGATACCCTGGGGATGGCAACCTCTTGAATTCGCACGAGAGATCAGAATTTTCTGATTCTTTGCTCAATCCCTGGACTAGGCATGGCGAAGTCTGTCCACGTTGGCTATCGACTGGCTACCCCCGTGTGAGCAGGCGCTGAACAGGCGTCTACGTCGTTGCTGAACCAATGTCTTGACATTATTGGAATTCGCTACACAAGGGCATAACCAATGCTACCTAGACAGGCAGGGGTTTCACACTCCGAGCGCCAAGTCAATCCTCCGCTCTCCCTCTGATGGGCCTCGAGGATGCGTCCGACCTCTGATCGTCCTGATACGAGACACTCACGTCCGTCATCCGCACGATTTCATTCATTTCCGTCTTCCTGCTTTCTACATCGCACATCTCGAACCCCTGTGTCGACACGTTATTCGAATAAATTCCTCCACTACCATGCAGCTCGCGCCAGGCCATATCCTTGCGATCCTGTAGTGACCGACTGCTCCCGGGGGTCTTCTGTCCTCTTCCGCGCGATCGGCTAGTGGAGGGATGCGCCGAGTGCTGAGAACCGAAAAGGCGTGGGAGGCACCACTTCAGCGGTTGGTGGTAGACGGGGAGACACGCGCAGATGATGCCGACGTTGGCTTCGATGACGCTCCAGATCGTGGCGGGGATGGGGCCGCCTAAACTGTTAGTGTGCTTCGTTACTCTGGGTGAGGAGGACCTACTGGTAGGGTCCTTGCGTTTGTTGTTGGCTGATTCGGCAAGCGTGGTTGTGCGGATGATGCTCGTTATGCAGACACTGGTTCGTTAGCTTGGACTACAATCGATGTGGAGGTGGCATACAATGTGCCCAGGCCAAACATCACTGCCAATGCAATCTTCTTACCGCGGGCCAGATGTAGTTGCGAGACTGGGTACACCGGCAGCGTGAGGATGGCCACATCGCAGACGATATTGATCACGGCATACGACAACCACTGCGCTTTGCTGTCGACACAGGTCTTGTTTATGATTGTCTTGTCCCAGTACGCGTTAACGGGTGTACATTGGAAGATGGTAACGAGGATATAGGCGAGACCCCAGGCGGAAAGAAAGGCAATCCCGCCGTAGCAGACGCGGCGAAAGACAGGCTGGATGAAGATGCGAAGGTAGAGACAGAGGAACGAGATCTTGTTGACGGTGATGACGACTTTGTATACGATTTGGGCACCGTAGAACCACTGTCCTCGTCAGTCATCAATCATATGAGGCAATGCGTGGACCATACCTTGAGAGCTTTGGCTCGGTCATTGAGGGCGATGTCTTTCAATCGCTTTCCGTAACCATAATGCACAGCTGCCAAGGGTCAGTCAAGTCCAAGAATGTAGTGAGGCGACTACTTACCAGAACATTCGGTCACCGTCAGCAACACCGATGCTATCTGTGATCGTCAGCAAACGTGCATTAATGCGAGGATGATCATACCAATGACGCCAGAATCACCCAGTCATCGGCCCCAATACGGCGATTGTGAAACCGTATCACAAGCCGGCCCAGCACAAAGAAGCCGGCCATAATCACCAGGACCACACTCCATATCCAAAGTGTGAAACCGCGATTCGGCACGGTTGGTGTGCTCAGTCCAATCTCGTATGCCATGTCAGGCAGGATCCCGCATCGTGAATCATGCAGATAGAAGGATCCGTGCCATCTATCTATGTTCTGAGCTTCTGAGCAGAAGACTGCGTGGTTCGTGTCATGATAATATTCGGAAGGATTCCGGACGGAACCCGCAATCAAAGTCAATCAATCCTTCGCCTTTCATGAATCCAGTCGGAAAATGCTGCTATTTGTGGAGGCGCCCATATCGTTACTCTTATTCCTAAGCGAGGCGGCGCAGATCGAGCCACGAGCCGTGGAAAGCTGCAGAGTGGATTGATCGGGGATGTTCCACGAGGACCGGGGACGGTTCGAACCTACTTTGATTGCCCCGAGACAGACTCGGTTCGCTATTGAACCAAAATGAAAAGGGGCTTGTCCTAGCTGTGCTCCATCGTTCCACTTGGCGGAAATTTGTCCCGTTTCGGGGTGGATCGACGCTTTGGCGTTACGAGAAATATCCTGATATATTAACCTAGCTCTGATGTGATCCAGTGCAACCTCTTCAACCTGTGCAATCCTTCTCGTGAATTGCTTTTCCCTGGACGGGTTGCGCCATGGTTCATTTCAGTGTTTGGATCTCCCTGGGTGTTGGACTTCTGGCCACCTCTACTCCAGCATATGGCCAATCACCTCCCAACTCTCACTTCTCGCGCGATGCAGCTGGCGCTTGCGTACGGACCAGCAGCGGGCTGATCGAGGGGCACGTTGCATCGCGACCTGGGGTGTTCGAGTATCTAGGGATTCCTTATGCTGCTGCGCCCACGGGAGACCTCCGATTCGCTCCTCCAGTCCAATACCACGGCAATGGCACCGTCCTTGCGAATGCTTATGTATGTATGGGTGATATATGATTGCTGGAGAAGATTAACCTATCGTAGAGCCCGTCCGTGACCCCGGAGACCACCCGAGTGCTCAGTATCTGACCGTTGTGATAGCGATTGTCCCGCCAATATTGGAAGCGTCCCGGATTTTCCCGGCCTGACGCCTCAAGCACCGACCATTATCAGAACCTTTGCTCAGCAATTGGGGACTCCCCAGAGCGAGGATTGTCTCTACTTGAATGTATGGACTAAGCCAACACGCAAGCTGAAACCGGTGTTGGTTTTTATCCATGGTGGTCGTATGTGTTCAGAGCATGTACCCGTATACGGGACCTACTGATGACCCCAGGGTTTAGTGTTGGCGGAGCCCATAGCCCCATGTACACCGGTGAGAACCTGGTCGCCGAGAATGATGTCGTCGTGGTCACCTTCAAGTCAGTGATCAGCCCCCGTTGCACTGTGCGACACTAACCGGACAGTTACCGATTGAACATATTTGGTTTCTCTGGGGCCCCTGGGCTCACCCAGAACGTGGGTCTGCTGGACCAGCGCATGGCCATTGAATGGGTGCACCGCAACATCGCCGGCTTCGGAGGCGACCCTGACCGCATCACCATCTTCGGACAGTCCGCTGGAGGCGCGTCAGTCGACTACTACTCGTACATCTGGACGGAGAAGCCGCTCGTCCGCGGCCTGATCTCGCACTCCGGTACCGCACTGAGCTTCAAGCCCAACACGGCCGAGGAATCCGCCAGTTACTTCTACCTTGTCTCCAACGCTCTAGGCTGCGGCAACCGTACCCATCCCGTTGACGCAGTGGTAGAATGTCTGCGCAAGCAATCGGTGCAAGCAATTCTCGCCGCCGTGAGAAAAGTCCCCTTCGCCCCATCCCCTGCGCTTCCTCAGCCCCAGTTCCATCCTACCGTGGATGGCATCACCGTCTTTGACAACTACGCCGAACGCTCCGCGCAGGGCAAGTTCATCAAAGCGGTAAGCTCTCCAGATCTGAAGCACAACGTGAGCAACGCCGCTAACCAAGCTAGCCATACCTCTTCACAAGCAACGACAATGAAGCAGGCTACTACCGCATCAACGCCTTTGCGGGTAGGATCTCGCTCACCGACGAGGAATGGCACCAGTTCAATCTGGCTGCGTTCACGTGTCCGACTGGCCAAGCGGCAGCCGATCGCATGGCACACGGCGTCTCTACCTGGCATGCTCGGTACTTTGGCGACTTTGGGAATCTGAGAATGTATCCGACCAGCGGGGCTTATCACGGCGTCGATCTGCATATGGTGTTTGGGACGGCGGGGAATGTCACCGGTATTCCTGATTCTGAGGTGGAGGAGCGGACGAACAGGTATATGGCGTCTGCTTGGGTGAAGTTTGCGACGGATCCGGAGCGGGGTTTGGATGGCCTTGGATGGCCGAGATATCATCCTAGCAGTAAGTGAATCACCAGGTAAAGGTGAGATGGGATGCTAACGCCAAGCAGAGAACACACTGGTCGGACTCGCGTATAAGAATGCGACGCGGGCGCAGCTGTTGGACCAGGCAGTGTACCAGGAGGGCTGTACTGCGCTGAACGGGGACACGACTCCTGGAAAGGGGGCTTTCTAGGTATCTGGTGCATATATATATTGGCCAGGTTATGACTACAGCCGCATAACCTGAATAATCATGTCCATACGAAGTCTCCTAGAGCAAATCATAGATACGTTTCAAATGTCTCATACTGCATTTTCCTCATATGCGTTGCTCTGCACGATCGACGGTATCCAAAGCACCCATAGGCGTTCCACGATGGTATCATTATGTTGCGTCAAAATACAATGGGAGAAAGTGAGAAATCAGAGAAATGACTGCTGGCGCGTCGCAATACTGGCAGCTCCTGAGATTTTACGGATGCAGCTTACACCCCACACAAGGCTCCGGCGGCATCTCACTATAAAGAATGTCCGGACGAGGAGCCCCCGCTACATTCAAATACCCAACTGCCCCTTTATCCATCCGAAAGATCGCATGGTCGACAAGCGTATACGTCCCCGGGACAATCATCTTCAGATCGACAATTGCCGCACCGCCCGGCGGCACACCCACCGTCGACAACAGCCTCGCCGGCGGATCAACCACACCTCCATCCCGAAAGACGTGCTGGAAATGGCTTCCGATAACGTGGAACGAACTCGTCAGATTGGGCCCGGCGTTGCCAAAGAAGATCCGCACCGACTCCCCTGTCTTGGCCTTGAGCGGCCGATCCCGCGTCAGCGCCGACTCGCTCCCGTTGAAGACTACCGCGGAGGGCTCCTCGCGCAGCCCCGCAGGGTAGGAGAACTCGACTGTAGACGAGGGCCGGCCGTCATCCTCGATCTCCGGCGGTTCGTGGTAGAACTCGCTCTGCATGACGTAGTACTCCCTATCCACCGGTGTCAGGGCATCGCCGTCTTCCGGCTGCACGTAGATCAACCCGTACATGCCGTTGGCAATGTGCACGGGGACCGGGGCCGCGGCGCAGTGGTAGACGAACAGACCCGGAACCAGAAGCTTGAACCGCGCGGTTTTCCTCTCGTGTTCCTCGGCGGTGGTGACGGCTGCGCCGCCGCCGGGGCCGGTGAAGGCGTGGCAGTCGATGTTGTGCGGGTTGCCGGTGTGGTCGTGGTTGGTCAGGGTTAGCTCGACCACGTCGCCTACGCGCGCGCGGATGAACGGGCCGGGGACGCTGTCGTTGAAGGTCCATGTGTCGTACTTGTATTGACTGGTTAGTTGGCGCGTTTTGGTGCTCGTCGTTAGCGGGACGTGGAGAAGAACTGGGTGTGTTCGGGTGATGGGGGGAGGGACGTTAGGAGCAGTGGTCAGGATGGCGTCCTCTTTAGGTAGGTCAATATCATCTTGAGATTCCTCGCGAGTTAGGTTGGCTCGTTGAAGGAATGTGTCTGTTTCGAGTTGGATGGGACGCTTGTGGACAGACAAAAACAGGCTCCCTCCGAGGATAGGAACAGCCAACCATGGCCAGACTTGTAGGCGCTCCTTTGGCCGCTCCGATGTCGTCTTTGCTGCCGTCCAAGTCGACAGTGGTTTTCTCAGGGCTGGACTACGCGTAGGTATCAACATCCATTCCCATGGAGGACCCCTTCTCAGCCACAGTCTCCCAAACAATACGTATTTGGACATTCTGAAATTTCGACATCAAACTGCTCTCGAGAGTCTAGAATATTGGGTCAATCGTGCTGGCCGTGGACATTTATAAGTAGACGCGGGGGGTGATGTCATGAGTCCATTTGCGGCGATTATAAAGCTGAGCAACTCCGCGGATGTATAACCTCTGCAATACTTGAGCTGTGTATCCCATTCAGATTCGTTGACTTCTTCTCAGTAATCAGTAGTTCTACGCGCTTATAGTTTAAGCTCTGCAATCCGCTTAGCCGAGGAGGGTGGCATCAGGTTCACGTCAACGTCGCATCTCGCCATATTCACTGCCTTTCCTCCAGTTATGCTCAGAGCAATGTCTCCGCGAGGAAGCCACTATCGCGAGCTCTGGAGACTCGAAGAGGAGAGTGGATGGCACCATAGCCGGAGCCCATATACTTTATCCCACTTCGAACTCGTTCTTGAGGACAGACAAGTGTACCTCCTTTTGAATATAGTTGGATATTCCCCAGGCGGGGAGAGGGCAAGAGTCCAGTGACAGATCTGTCCGCGGCAGGGTAAGTGCATGAGACGTTGGGATGTATATATCGTCCGCAGAGTCGATAGTAAATGGAGAAATGGGTATTATCACAATGATTATCCGTTCATATTTGCCTCCTTTCTTCGGGGTGCGTTAACCCGAGAAGATGTAGCTCGGCTGCCGAAGCGGGGCGACGGTGGGTTGATATGTCGATCATTCTTCAAGAAATTGGGCCGGGGAGACGCGATACTTTCAGCACAACTGAATCATCCCATTCATCTATTATTTTACAGCAGGTATGGGACAACGCAAGACCCCGAAATCAAGAGGCCGACTCGGGTCTCGCAGGTCGAGTAGCCATCATGACTGGCACTGGCACAGCAGGGGAGGGAGTGGGAAATGGGCGTGCAGCCGCTCACCTCACTGAAGACGGTTGTTCAATTGTATGCGCCATGGAGCAACAATGGAAGATTAGATACCCTCTTCAACTGCGTCGGGGTGCACGGTCGAGACGGTCGATAGGCAGTGGGCACCGGGATTCGACATCAATGCCTTGAGATGGTGTTGATAGCCAAGTATGCCATCCCATCACGACCAGGAAAGATAATGCCGTGTCTACCGGGGAGGCATCTCAAGGTGGATAATAGTTGGGTTAAAAGGTGGCACGCTGTATCTGCTGCATCCTACCAGCAAGGGCGCAATCATCATGACCCGTGCATGGGGGCGCATCATGCACAAGACGGCCTCCGAGTAAATTGCGTTTGTCCAGGAATGGTGTATACACTCGTCGCGATGGTAGGAATGAGGCCTGATGGATGGCGCGTGTATCCTGTGCCAGTGATGAAGACACAACAGGAGCAGTTGGGATGGGATTGCCTGCCAAAACTGCCAATGGCAATGTAAATGGTGACTGCAGGATAGAAATCACTCAGGGTGTAGTCTACCAACGTAATCTCGGCTAATTGTCTATTTCAGCAGTATTCTATATTCAAAGATGGCATGAGACACCCCAATCGGCATCTGCTGTCGGCATTCGGTTATCATCTCCGTTCTACTGAATATAACCCCGCCGTCCATCCCCGCAATATCGAATACCTCACATTGACATTCGACAATTGTACAGACAGGAAGATGGCAGATTACTCGGAATACAGCATACCTACGGAAGAATGGATTGCTCTGGAAAAGACACTGCCACCGCCGCCCACGAACTTGGACGTCCATGCTCTGAAAGCCATGTTCAACCGAGCTCGGGAGGAGAGGGCCGCTAACGCGATGGTGAATGAAGGTAGGTTATGCCGCAATACTAGAATGCATCTACTGACACCATCAGGACTGCAATCGCAAGTCACAATGCAAGACTATTCTGTTCCGGCAAGGGATGGCTTCCCGTTAGAAGCACGCAGCTACCGTCCCGTCGGTTTGCCGGCCTCCCAGCGCCTACCGGTCTACCTCCATCTACACGGCGGGGGTTTTGCATTCGGCACTTTGGCCTCCGAAGACGCGATCTGTTCCCGGATCGTCGCTACGTTGGCCAAGGAAAATACTCCTGTCGTGGTGGTCAATGTGAACTACCGCCACACCCCCAAGTACAAGTACCCCGTCCCGTGGAACGACGCCGCAGACGCCTTCCATTGGGTTCATGACCATCTGACGGAACTGGGCGGGGATGGTGACAATGTCCTTGTTGGAGGCATCTCCGCCGGCGCATGGATGACTGCTTCTCTGACGCTAGCGCAGCACCTGGGCACAGACGAGCAATTGGCCAAGCGACCCAAGATCAAAGGACAGGTGCTCATGATCCCGGCATTAGTGGGCCCGGGGTGCTACACGCCGCAGCTGAAATACCTCAAGGATCCAGAGTTGTCTAGTTACGTGGACAGCGAGCATGCGCCAATCCTCCCGGTGACACGGATCAACTTCTTCATGGACCTGTTGGGGACCAAGGGCGACGAGACGGACCTGATGCTCAACCCGGGGAATGCCACTGTGGAACAGGTCCGGGGTTTGCCTCCTACGACGTTTGGGATTGCCGGACGGGATCCACTCCGGGATGAAGGGCTCTTTTTCGCCAAGTTGTTGACAGATAATGGGTGAGTTGGAATCCAGCTGCAGCATTGTGGGCCAGTATACTAACTGCCGCAGGGTTCCTACCGACGTTCATGTCTTTCCTGGTTTACCGCACGGCTTCCGAGTGCATGCGACGTTGTCTGAATGTAAGCGATGGGATTCGGTCATGGCGCATGGGGTGCAATGGGCATTGAGCAAGCCGGCGGCTACGGGGGTATTTGAAATCAAAACAAAGTAGTAAAACGGGATCCACTCGTTCAGAATAGTGACATGCAGGTATATACATGATCAGTCAATGCCATCACCCCTGGGCGCTCTCTGCATGCTTTTTGATGTAGGTCTCGAGCAGTCCCGGATTGGCGCCAACCACCTTGTCCACATAGTCGCCCGCTCGGAAGAGATAGAAACTGGGCATGGACGACACTCCCAACTCCTGTGCCACATCGGGGACTTTGTCGACATTGACCTTGAAGAATTTGATATTGGCGTACTGGTTGCTGAACAGCTCCACCTTGGGTGCGATGGCCTTGCATGGGCCACACCAGTCTGCGTAGGCGTCCACCAGCACCAGCATGTTGTCTGCAACGGCAGACCGGAATGCTTTTAGACTATGATACTGTTAACACGGGACTATTTCAGTGGATAGCAACATACCTGCTTAATTCTTCGACGCCCATTGTATCTAATTGCCTGTACGGATTATGGAGTAGAAGGGTAGAGTAAGGTAGTTGAGGGAAGAAGATAATTATCATCAAGACAGGAACTTGTTGTTGCCCAAGGCATGACATCACAACTTCAAGGCATCGGCTGAGTAATCAATATTAGTAAGACTACATTATGCATCTCAAGATATGCAACTTTATGCACATGGTATGGACCCAAA